ACCGCTCTGAAGATTTTAACACCCTAACACTCCTCAGAGCCAACTTACTTTGTCACTTGCCGAGCAAGGGACTTACAGGACCCCACTGGGAAGCACACAAAATGAAGCCTGACTTCTGTGGTAAAGATTTGTTAGTGTCTTAAGGGTTTAGCGACTGATTCTTTTAACTTGACAGATATTTGGCTCCACTAGCATCTCTTAGTGCAAACATCTAGAGATGTTAACTGACCAGCTGAATAACACGGGAACAATTTCCCCTGATGATCTACTTTGAATGTTTGTCACTACTGCTGTTTATAAGTTTTACCAGCAGTAAAAGCAAGGTGCTGAATATTTCACAGAGTATCTCAGCAGAACATACCTAAGAGATGTACCTAAATTGGTGCATCACTGCCTATGCAAATAGTGCATAACTTATTTCCACAAGGAGACAGAGTAGGCAACTCCATCTGGGTTAATGTCGCCAGGTGCCTTTAAAATCAGTAGAGGAGAGTAAGTGTTTCTAGGGGACAATTAATCTACCTTTATTTTAGGTGGATTTAGGTGGACCTGGATTAAGTGAACTTCATCTTTGACTGTGACACATTGTCTTTAAAGAGAATCCAGATCACCAGATCCGATATGCTAGCTACAAGGTGTACGTCTACATTTCACTGTTGAGTAACAACAGCTGAAGGGACCAAGTCACGTTTCTGCATTTGTTAAAACTTCTTGTTATACTTACCTACTCCCGCACTGTTGAAAATGCTCGGAAGAACAAGCATGATGTGGTTGGGCCAATACTTCTTATATATGGCCATTTCATATTCCTTGACAACTAAAACATGCAAATGACTGGCTCCATCCATTGCATGATACAAATTGAAAAGTCCATGTTCATGACGACCAGTGGTGGGAGTAAAAGTGGGGCTTTTTATGTAATCTTCACTCTGTAAATAAAAAGAAGTGTGAGTTTCTGTATTAAGCTGCAGGATGTTTAAACAAAAAGAACCAGGTGCTTCAGGAGAATAAATCAGATTCACTGACACTGGACAAACCGATACATTTGAAATCAGTTTAATACGAAAATAAGCAAATTTTGTAAAAGCTAGGAAAAAGAAAACTCTATCACTTAGCTTATCCAACTGGTGAGAGAGTGATGGACTGGATAGGACTGCTAACCTTGACTTGCCAAGTGCACAGGGACCTTGAGCCTAGACCTGGAAAAGGATTTAGGTCCATATGACATAAGATGGGAAGAAACACTTTACGCCAAAACTGCAGTACTACCTTTTCTGACTGGCTGTCACCCAATATTGAATGCATTGAAGCTCACTTGGTGCTTCAACGTTTGATAGTACAGCTTCTGAAAACCCTGTTTCTACAGGCATCCAGGACTGTTCCAGTCTGGCCAGCTCATGTTAGCTTGGTTCCTACTAAGGTCATTAAGGACCCTGAATGAAAGTTTGCCTTTTTACCAAGACTCTCCAAAGCCCTCGTAATTAAACACTCCACATTTAAAACTGCCAAAGCACAAAATAGTGGATTTGATGCCAGTGGAGTTCACAAAAGGGAACTGACATGGAACAATAAAAATATTATATAATGGTTTCATAATCTAGGTTTATATCCCACAGCACTTTTCAAGCTTGCAGCAAGATTGCAGGCACCATTTTGGAGAAAGTGAACAGAAAGAGAAGCAAAGGAAGAATAAAGCCGCAAAGCCTCAAAGCAGGTGAGTGGCAGAAGGAGGAAGAGAATCTGCAAGGACCCAGTGCAAGTGATGACTGTGTAGCCAAGCACTAGTTTACAGGGTGAGGAAGAGCAGGAGGTTTCATCCTCGCATTGCACAGTTGCTGCTGTGTTTCTTCCTGGGTTCTCCCATTTCAAACTCGAACTGGACATAAAAGCTTGAACTGGAGGGTGGTATTGATTGATTATTGTTTATTGGAAATAGTTTATTTTTTCCAGCATAGAAGTGCTACCACTTGCTACTGTTCCACATATCGCTTCAATTCTCCAAGCAGTGTGGCCTGAGCAAGGCACAGCTTCATCTTAGACATGGATATTAGGAGTCACTGCAAAGGCCAGCATCAGAGTCTGCATAGCCTGTCAGATGGATGACCTTATAAAGTGTTTTCTACAAGCGTGCCATGTAATTCTTTGGACAGCCTTGAAGCCATGACAAAGATTCTTTGAAAGCCTTATTTCTATATGAAAGCAACTGAGCATATATGCAGAATAAGACAGGATAATCCACTGCCTTCCTCTACAGTAAAAAATTGCTTCCTCTTAGTCACTGTATGATAAACAAAACCATGTCTCTGAGGCTCATTGCTGAAACCATTCTCACTTTAACATCTTAAACCCATAACCAAAGGCCTTTTGCCCTAGATAAGAGTGCTTTTACCAAAGGATCAACCTTGATAACGAGCAAAAGAAACAGCTTATTGGTGCCTTGACAGTTTTGCTTCATGTCTTCCTTTCTGGGATAAAATACAAGCTTAGTATCAGGACGTCTTCATTATCTCTTGACAGCAGGACCAGAAGTGTAAAGAATCCTAAATCAACAAATTTTAAAATTGGTAGTGTCTATCTCCATATGGCCATAAATATAATTATCCATCTACCTTATCTGTGACTAGTGGTAGCCTCATGCTTTCCAATTGTCTTCCTGGTTGGCTAAAGACAAAATGATGCTCCTTTGACTTCGGAATGATAAAATGCAGCTGGATCTCTTCTCCCAGCATAGAATAGGAAAAGGCAAATGCATGCAGTGTGGACTCATAAAGCTGAGGATGGGAAAAAATAGGATAATTCCAGTGGTTAGAGTCAAACTACAAGGTCTCAGTGTAGTTAATACACTTTTATAACATTGCCAAACAACTACAATCACTTACTGTACTGCATTAGATTTTACCCCATGATTCACTAAGTTAAGCGATACCCCCTTGACTAGAGCATACACTAAAAAAAAATATAAATTAAACTGTTCCCTCTTTTGAAACCACTGTTTCAACTTTGTCTTGCAGATGGTACCAATAATTACAGGCCACTCTTGGCTTTAAGACACACTGACACATAAAAACCAGTATTTGCATTGCTAATACCTTGTTCCTCACATTCTAACAGACAGGAAAATGGAGGGTTACTCTGAGTAATAACAGTCTGTATTGTATGCCACATATAGACTACTCCATGCTGGACTACTCTTATAGCACCTTTTGCAGTTACTTGGGTGAAAATGTAAGCAAGTTCCCATCGGAAAAGTTTGCTGGGAAAGTAGTTTTAACAGCTAGTATGCATGTAGAATGCAGATTACAGCGCTGAATAAGATAGTGTAAATGAGGCAAGGATCAGTCCTCTGACATCCCCAAACCTGCAGTCTGGTCAAGACAGGCAAACCTCAAGAAATAACAAAATCTGCAAATCAGCTGTTTTTAACATATACATACAACTTGTAAACCAATTCAGATACAGTGAACATATAAAAAAACATGTTTGAGTTGTGTCTGCTTCAGTTTCTGATCCGCAGAATAATATCTGGAAATCTTTACCTGGTACCTGGGATTGAAACCCATATACTGATGACACTGTTCACAGTGATGGTAGGTGTTATATGCTGCATACTTGGATAATCTCATCCTAGTTGTTTGACGGTGTGTATACATATCCTCCTGTCTCCTGCTCATTGATCTGTCTATTAAAAAAAGAAACAACTGAAACGTAACATATATTCAAGACCAGAATGTGCTGCCTTGTGACAAACTGTTTCTGTCACTATAATTAGCTCTAGGAACAATGGCAGGATTAAACGTATGCAAAACAAAATGTGAATTAATTCTGAGCATAGTATGTTTTATAAATTGTTATGTACAACAAATGGGACTACAAAGAAGTATCTGTAAATTCATGATTATGATAATTCTGTACAGATTTCACACAAGGCTGAGGTGTAAGCAAAGCCGGATTATGAAAATTATTATTGTTGCTGTTGTTATTATGGGTTGAATGCTTGCAAAAGTAATAAATAGTAAAAAAGAGTAATGACAGACATTTACCGTCCTGTGGACATCACAGTTGATTATGTGAAATGAACTTGGCAAATTTATGGACATCACAGTAGATTATGTGAAATGAACTTGGCAAATTTAGTGATGTTGCTTTTTAGCAAATATCTACATTTATAAAAAGGGAGACTGAAGGAAGATGAGATGTAATTTCTGCTGAAAAGGACTTCTGTTATGTCATCTGGCCAAACCTTTCACTCAGATTTTCAGCATCAGGTCAGGTTGTTCAAGGTTGTTTCTCATCCTGTCAAGATTTAAAAATCACTGAATGGAGTTTCCACAGTCTCTCTCAGCAACCTGTTCCATGGTTTGACCCCTTTTATTCTGGAAATATTTTTCATACTATCTAATTGTAATTTCCCATGTTGCAACTTGTGTCTGTTGTCTCTTGTCCTTATGCTGTGTACGTATAATAGTTTGCGTCTATAAGTTCCCATTAGGAAGTTGAAGACAGCAGTCAGATGCCCCTGCTAAACTTCTCTAGACCAAGCAAACCCAATTCTCTTCAATTTTCTGTATAAGCATGTGCTTCAGGCCTCTATCCATCTTGGCGGCTACCCACTAGACTCACTTCTGTATGTCAATGTTTTTCTTGTACTTGGAAGCCAACAACTTGACAGAATACTCCAGATGTGGTAGAATAATCACCTCACTTGACTTGCTTGCTAGATTTTTAGTAAGTCAGTCCAATAAGCCATGATGACTCATGTTCGATTTGTTGTCTACCAGGATCATCAGGTCACCTTCCTCAAAACTGCTATCTATACAGCTGGCCCCAAGTTTGTACAGCTGCAAAGAGTTATTCCATCCCAAGTGCAAGATCTTGCATTTACCTTTGTTGAACCATTTGAAGTTCCTGTCAACCCATTTCTCCAGCCTGTCAAGGTCCTTCTGAATGGCAGTGCTACCTTCCTGCATACTGACTGCTCCCCTAGTTTGGTATCATCCATGAACTTGCTGACGTTGCATTCTGTCCCTTTGACCAGGTTATTAATGGCAACCTTAAACAGCATTTGCCTCACTGTCAGTCTCTGAGTATTGCCATGCATACCCAGCTGGCAGTCAGATTTTGATCACATTTTGAGTTTAGTGGTCCAGCCAATTTCCCACCCACTTTACAATCCTCCTATCCAAACCATCTCTCTCCAATTTTGGCTGTATGGATATTATAGAAGACAGTAACAAAAACCTCGCTGAAGTCAAGATAAAACCACTGCTCTTCCTTTGTCTGTAGTGCCAGTCATCTCATCATAAAATGCAATCATGTTTACCAATCACTATTTGCCTATGATAGATCCATTCTAGCTGCTCCCAATCACTTTCCTATTCTTCATGGGTCTGGATATGGCTTATAGGAGAGTTTGTTCCATAACATTTTTGAGGACTGAGGGCAGACTGACTAGGCTGTAATTGCTTCGATCCTCCTTCTGTCCTGTAAAGGATGGACAAAGCATTTTCCTTCTTCCAACCATCAGGAACCTCCAGCAGTTGTTGTTACCTTCTACAAATGACAGACAGCAGCCTCACAATGATGTTGGCCGCCTCCCTCAGCACGCTTGGATACATCCTACCTTGTCCCATGGGCTTGGGTATGTCCTGCTGGCTAATCCAGAGGACTAATTCACACCTCAGTACACCAGGAATCTAGATCTGGACATACGCATCTCACGCTTTCCAAGCCTAAACCAAAACCTAAAAAATAAACCTAGAAACACTTTTAAGTACATAAATAACTTCACCCACATCAGTTACTTCATTGCTACAGAGCAGGACAACGCTACTACATAAAAACATTAGAATACACAAACATACTATGGAATCAGAGCTTTTTAAATGAAGGACTACCTGTATAATATTCCATAAAACGTTTATAAGGCTCACACTTTGGTGCTTCATCTAGCAAACTTCAAATCTTTTTTCACTGTTACTTAGTCAAGTGCAATTCTGATAATTTCACTCTGTTTAAAAGTTTAAAGGGATTCTCACATTAAAAACAAATAGATACATATTTGTGTACCGATCAATATTTTTTAAATTCTAACCTTCACTGTTTATAGTCTGAAGCTTTGAACAAATCAGACTTGCATCTTCATATTTTGGGTCATGGATAGTGTAGTCAAAAGGCGTCTTCTTAAACGTCTCCAAATCTGGCCACATATCTCCAGGCTGATGGTAGTATTGATCAGATTCTTCTCTTATGTCTATGATATTATTGAAAAATAAGAATCCATGCAATTACAATTTTAAAGCGCCTTTTAATGCTATAGATGGTTTTGCTATGCCTATTATTTCTGCATCATTTTTTCTTTCATCATTCTGAGGAAGCAATATTATGCATCAAGAAGTGCACCTTTGAACAAATGTACCTTATACCTCAATGCAATTCTGGCTTTAAAATCTTTGTTATTTAAGACCTCTGTAATCTTACTGGAGCATTGGTAGGATGATGATGAAAACAATGTCAAGGGTCTGCTAATTCTGATTTGCCTGCATCCAGGCATTTGGAGTCTTTCCACTGACTACCACATTCGTGAACTCAATTGAAGAAAGAGATGTTATTCTCACAGAGGAAAAGAAGCCCTCTTAAAGCTTCAGAAATTGTGGTATTAAGTACAGAGCAGAGTTAAAGTCAAATGCCCCTTCTAGTGCTAAGACCAGAGTAATCAAAGATAATTCACCCTAGAGTAAGAGAAAATTAGTAACTAGTATTGGTATAACGTGCAGTGAAATCATGCCTTTTTCCGAAACAGGTTAACTGGCATAAAACCCCAAATGTACACAAGTCCTTACGAAATACTTTTCTACCTTTGTCAAGAGGATGAAAGATCTGACAAGAGTAAAATGGACAGTAGTGAGGAGCTCGGTTTGGTGGTCAGCTGTAAGCTGCTGTAAAGAGCCGTAACTCCATGTCTATGAGCATAGACTAAATGATTATTTACAACAGGCAAGACCCTGTCTTTTGGCACCCAAAGTATCTATGAAACTCCAGTGGAATTAGTCAGATGGTGAAATTATTTTCATGCCCTGACTGTGAGTTACCTCTAAAATCCTGCCTAAAATACAAAGGACCGCTTACAGAAACCTCTCCCTTAGCGGACTGGTCACCTTTCCCACAGGTTTTGCCATAAACCTTGGGGGCGAGCTGCCTGTTTCTCCAGCATAGCTCAGTGGGGAGGAAAACTCCTGTTTACTGCCTCAAAAAGCCTTCAGAGACAAGAGCCAAGGCACAGTCCCACAGTGAAATGACTGAACGGCTTCCAGCCAGGGTCTGATGGATCCAGCTATCAGGAGGTAGCACCTGCCTGAGACTCTCCCCCGCTGGCTGTGGACATGCTTTTACTGCAGAATTAGACTTATCCCATCAAATATCTCCCTTATTTTTCTATGTAATCCAGCCCTTAATTACTGAGGCCGAGTGTCAGGAATATATCTGGAAACACAGGGGAATAATACACTGTAACTAAAGGAAGTTTGGACTAAACTTAGCTATTAGAGAGCAGGAACTGTTTTCCTCCCTCATGCAGTCTTATGTACTTAGAAAATATGACATTGCGCCTCATGGTATAAATCTGCCAGAATTCCACTGATTCTTTTTATATACTTTACCACAAAAGATCATTCCAATTCTAAACTCAAAAACAATGGCTGGATACCATTTAATATAGATAAATGCTGTTGATTACTTCCAAAGAAAAACAGAGGTATGTGGTTTTCTTACTGAGAGGAAGATTAGAAGAGTAAAGTCTAAATCATGAGTAAAATGATAAAACATTCTTAAGTATCAGTTGAAGATCACACAAAAATCTTCTTAAAATATTTCAATAATGTAAATTAATTGCAAAGGTGAACAGCATAAAATATACAGACAACTAGTTTTCAATTTAACTTAACAATTTTCTACTGTGTCCAGAAGTGAATATTTTTATACCAAGAACTTACTAATGTTGATTTCTTCCTCATCATAAACATCCACTTCTGTCAATCTAATCAGCATTCGGGACAAAATACTGAGGAACTGCAGGTAGGCACCTGTTTTCCCTATCTGTAAATATATAAATTAGAAAATAAAAAAGTAAATTTTCATTCATATTGGCCTCTTCCAACCTAGACAATTCTATGATTCTGTGATTTTTCAATGTGCTGCTTTTCCACATATCTGGAAATTGCAGCTGCAGAGAAACCAAATATTAATATTCAGCACTTGCATATCCCTGTATTTGTATATTCTTTGGCATAAATGAAATGCTAATTGCTCAACAGTTTTGTTCTCTTTATGCAGGAGCCTGGTTTGGAAAATGCATTTTATATCACAGGTCTAATTACAGGCCCACAGATGAGAATTTTCTCTCCTGGTGTTATAGTTTCTACATAGGCAATGAACTTCTAAAAATCCATGCAACCTCATAAAATGTTCCAAAAAAAACCCCTCAAACTACAAGATAACTAAAGAATAACCTCAACCCTTTCATATTTGCATAATTTACCAGTACGCTGACTGCTATGGAAGTACACTGACTATCCTGAAGAACGAAGTCGCATGCATCTATAGCAGAACTTGTGCAGGCCACCTCTGCTCCTGGGGGACATAGGGTATGTAAGAATGTGTTGTTCCACCTCTTGGGCTGAAAATATACTATATCCCTTCCACAGTTTTCAAATTACCTTTTAAAAGTCCATTTAAAAATTATCTCAAGATTATAGCTTTTTAAAGCTCTCCTTTCTTTTTTACTCCACCAACACACTATATACATTTTCTCTTCGTTGTGCCAAATACTGTTGCTGCCCTTTTATAGTTTTTGAGCTGAAAGGTATATAAGCTACAGCCAATGATTTACTCAATAGATTGTTCTGTGTCTTCCACATGAAGTTTGATGACGATAACATCAAGTAAATAATGCCATATCTAAGCAGACAGCTTTACAATCCATTACACTTGAACGGGAAGCAGTATGCGATAGGTTTCAAAGAGAAAAAAGAGACAGCAAGCTCATGTCACTCTCAGGAGAGAATCAACACACTTTGATTTTGTATGTGTGTGTAGTTCAGTCTCAGAATGGCACTGACGTCCAGCTGACAACTTAAGACTAACGTCACACCCGTACAGAGTGAAGTTAACACGCAGATCAGTTATGACACATTGTCCTGCTGCAACTGTCTGATTTCACAGAGTGGCGTCAGATTTTGGGCTAAGTCTATACTACTACTACTGAATTGAAAACCCAGCTTCACTGCCATTACTGCTAGGACATGTCAGAAGCATAGGGGGTTGAATTACTAAATGTAGTATTAAATTTACTGTTTTCCATATATGTCAAGCGAAATTTTCCTTTTCTCTCAACATTTGAGAAAGGGAGGCTTTGAAGCTGAAGCAAGAGTAGGTAAACATTTGTTTTGGTCAAAGTTCAGTGTCTGTTGTTCAGAGTGCATTTTAAACAGTGGCGTGCCGAGGGTGGGAAAGGGTACTGCTGTGCCTGTTGAGGGCCAAAGGAACCCTTCAGATACACAAGGTAGACTATACAGTAGCACACAACTCTGTGTTTTCCAGAAGTAACACAGAAAAAAAGTTACTTTGAATAGAAGAAATGATAGCATGAACCTTAGTTAGCCCACTGACCAGATGTTTCTGACTTCCAGTCTGTTTTTTTATGTAAAATCCACTGAGACTAATGAGAATCTTTCTGCTGACCTTGGAACAATGTTCTAAACTTGGTTGCAACGGCTATTTATTGGTAAGCTAAAAAAAAGCATCATATTTTCCCACACCTGAGACAAACCTGATGATACTTTGTTCTAGAAGAAAATACTTTCACTGTTTTCTCCCGAGTCTGAAATTGCCTTTACATGCCCTTTATGAACATATTTTATAAAATGCCTCGGATCATAATTTCATTAAACACAGGCTGGCCTGACAGATTAACCGTTCCCTAATTTCAAACAAATGAGAGATCATTTGCCCAAAGTACACAACCTGTTCCCTTGACACCAGGTATCTATGTGAAAAACTAATTCCTCATCTGTTTGAAGTATATTCTTAGAATTGTGAACAGAAAAACAGGCTGAAAACCTTACTTTTTGGTTTTGGTAACCATTTAAAACTTACTTTATAAAAATAATGTATTTTCTTTCTTTGGCAGACCCGACTTCACCAATGGTTTTCAACAATGTATCTGGGAGTGACTAGGCTACTCCTACGTCCTCAGATGAAAGGTATCAGCTGTCAATTGACTCCAGTATACACAAAGCTATAGGGTCATGAGTCAAAAATCTTATAAACCACAGGACTACAAGTGCCAGTCCCTAACCACTGAACTAAAACATACGTACTTATGATATTCCATGCAACCCATCTTACCCAATCTCAGTATCTGTCACATAAAAAGTGTCCAATACGGTACTGTGAGCTTTATGAACTGTTAGATATTAGCCACACTGTATGTAAAATGCTGGTGGGAACTTGCAGGAATCTCTCCACGTTTTCAGAATGTTTCTCTGCCAGGAGAGAGATCAGGCTACGCACATAGCGACATTCATATTTGGACTCCATTCACTTGCACATTTGCCTGCATTTGCTGCTGAAGAAATGAATTGGTGAAGCAGAGACCATCTTTCCCAGGTAATTTTGAGAAGAAGACTTCAAAAAGAAAATGAGAAAAGAATGAATTCTCATTTACAATCAATGTTTACTCCAGAAGGGAAGAACCTTGAACAACTGAATTTGTAGCATGCCCAGATAGGTAAATGCACCTTTAAAGTTATTTGTATCGATTTCTATGTGTACCATCTCTAGGCAAAATGGAACCAACCACACAGAGTGTCTTTGTTTGTTTGAAAATACTTAATAGCTGTCAATAAACAGAGCTTCCACATCTCTCCAAAGAGTCCTTGCCCCATCTGTCACTACTCCTCTTTTTGATAGTTTGGGCATCGTAGGTAGCTGCAAGCAGGGTCTATACAACATCAAAGCATGAAGACCCATATTTGCCCATCCTCCATCTCCCAACTGTAACAAAATAGAAGAACTGCAAAGAAATTTTACACTGGATACATGATTTGGCTGTAGCTTTACATGTCTTTAGAGAAGCCGAGTACAATGCCATGTTGATCCCAGTTAGTGACTTCAGACTCAAGCATGATATAATATATTAACAATGACGATGACTGGTAAGGAAGTACTCTGAGCGAAGTGTTTTTCTCCATATTCTGTCTTTGCTCTGCATGCAAAAGCTGCAACCAGATTAAAAGTATAAAGGAACCTGGAACGGGGCTGCATTTTTATGATGACTGAAACAAAATATACGAGAGGTGCTTCTACTACAGACAGGTCTACTTCCCAGAAAGAGGTTTCTCAAATATGTGGCAGTGCCCAGTGCCTTAACAGAGGAGGCACTTGGGGACTAATATTCCCAAACAATGGAAGTATTACTCTAATTTGTTTGTATCTACCTGAATGTGGAAGACAGAAGTCTGAGGAATCCGACTTGGAAGAAGAAAATCCCAGAAGACTAAGAAGTAAAAATCTCAAATCTTGTGAAAACTTATGATAACTAAGGAATTTGGGGCCTGCAAAGATTTAGTATGTGGGTTTCTGTTTTTATCCTTAGTGCAAGGATGATGATTTGGCCCATAAAAAGCTAAGAATATGTTTACCCTAGAGTTCTTCATTCACAAAGAGTGTAGCTGTAGCTGAGCAAGAGGAAGGAATGTGAATTCAAATTCATCTTGCAGAAAATTCAAGAGTTATGAAGGTCTAGTTTTTGTGTCAAAGACATACGCTATCTAAGAGGAATGGAAAGCTCTCCAAAGAGTTTGACCACTGAACTGTGCTTGCCATAGATATTAAGGACAAGCTGAAAACAAACTGTTTGTCCAAGAATCTGAGAGAGAAATATTCCACTCAGAGAAGTTACGTGTGTGCCTCCATGCTTATTCATGGAAGTGACATTCAAAAGTGCTGCTGCAGCGGGTCTAACAGTAATGAGTTCCCTTTTTTTAATTGTTCCAGACACTGGACACCAGGACCACTAGAAGTAATTTATTATTCTTACATGTTGCTATAAAGTGTCATCTGATTTCAATCTTCACATTAGGAGAAATATGGCAAAAGAGGAAATAATTCCATAAGGCTTTTCTATTTTAATTTCCAGGTGAAAACCACACCATGGCAGTGGTTTTCAAACTGTGGTCTGTGAACCAATGGTGATTCATAGAAAACATGCTGATGGTCCACAGACAGCTGGTAAAGTGGTGCTGGCTCTTCTCTTTGTTTCCACTTGCTACATTCTTCTAAAACACAGCTAACAAAAGAGATAATATTTCTCTAATATTTTTCTTACATAAGCTGAATGGTACATAAGCCCATTGTAATAAGATTTTAACAGGAATAGAGGAAAACCAAATAACATGGGCAGCAGTTTTCTTCCTTGGAAAGTGTCTTAAATCATGCTTGCTTCATTCCCTGGATGTGGTGGTGCCACAGGACTGAGCCGTGCTCATGAGCAGCTTCCACGCTTCAGAAAAATGCTGGTTCTAAGTTGTAATATACAGTTAAAAACAAAGTTACAAAACCTTGATTTGCAGTTTGGGGAGCTTTAAGATGAATGTTTCTACAAGAAATATTTTAGTGAGTTTAGGCTTCCTTACAGGCATTTTCTTGGGGGCACTGGGGAAAAGATTTCTACCGTAGATACGATACATGCTGTTCATGGTTGTGCATATTTATTCATACTCGCTAACCAATGGCCTAACTTGGGTGATGTGAGCTAATTACAGATAGATACAGAAGAAATCTGTCCTATAGCTATCTAGTTTTTCCTGCATTTCCTAAAGCCTCCTGTAAAAATAATGCATGATTGCCTTCTAATGTTCATAATTGTCCTTGTAAAAATGCATCGAGTCTTCTAGCGGAACATTTTGATCAGTCCAGAGTGTAAAAAGTCTCTGTGAGAGAAGGGTGAGTGTATTTTATTACTAATTACCCTGACAGTGAGAAGTATAATTGTGGTTCACTAACGTGCCTAGTTTTCTTCCTGTGTTGATTTCATGCTTTTCATTTTAACCAACAAATTGCTTCCTGATTCGAATTTTAGTAAAGTCATTGCTGCCTGATAAAGAAAACAACTACATCCTAATTTTTGAAGACAGTACTCTGGCAGTCTTATACTTTGGCTGAGATGTTATTAACACAGATGCTGCCTAATAAATGTTTTTATTTCTGCCTGTATCTCTTCATGCATTAAGTGTTAAGTCCATATACAATGTTAATATTATCAAACACACAAGTCATTAAAACCTATTTCAAGAAGCAAAATTCTTTCTTCCCAAAAAGAGAAGAGTAATTATAATTTCTGAATATTTTATTGTGACTATTCCCTGGGAGAAACACTGTATTGTTATACCTTAAACCAATAAACAATCAACATGCTTTTACAGCTCTTTGTTTAGTTTACAGGAGTTTTTAGTACTTTGGGAGGTTAAAATAATTAAGGAAGCAAAGCTGCCGTCTTTTTCCACATACTGAAATGAACATATATCCCTAAATTTTGATACTTACGAAGAAGAAAAGATACTCCTTATTTGATGGCTGTGAATTTGTTCACAGGTATACTATTCAGAAAGAATTGAGGAATATAAAAGGAATAAACATGTGAAGAGTGCCCTTTAGGACACACTTTAGATCCATCTGTATAACCCAATGCAAGACTAGGAAAAAAACCTGCACTGTGGAGACAGCTGGAGAAGAGATGGAGTTCCAAGTACAAGAAGTGATATCAGGGCTGAAATTCAGTGCTGTAGAGGGTCAACAGGAGTTCTATTCAATATTTGAAAAAATACGGTTTGATAGTGAAAAGTGGTGCATATCATACCCTGGCACGGAGCTAATGAATAAATATGCTGTCTGTTTAATTACAACTCGTTAAATAGCAAGTACCAAGTGTGTGGAGGATCAAAACCCTCTCACAGGTGTGTAATACGCTTTCAGAAGTCACTGAATGACTCTTCTGAGAATCACAGATTTACATTTGTGACCCATAAACAAATGAATACCAAAGAAATGTTTTCTTATTGGCTAATCTGGATATTAAGGGTGGCTTTGGAAATAGTATCTTTGTGGGATTTGATGTCTATGCATATAAAATTCTAACAAAAATTGTCGCAGCCTGGGTTTTTCATTGAGATGGAAATTAACAGTATCTCTCTTCCAGAATGTATTCGTTTTTATGCTGCACCTGAGTATGAAATTCAGTTTCTTGATAACATCGTACCTCAATCTTTGATCAAATTTAGATCAAAGGAATGGACAGTGAAAAACTGCTCATCAGGGTAGCAAACATGGACAATTTAGATCAAAGGAACGGACAGTGAAAAACTGCTCATCAGGGTACTTTCTGGAACCTTTATGAATTCCAGTAACATTTGAAATCCCAATATGAAAAGCACATTTATGCTCTTTTTACTCTACTGTACCATAAATTAGGTTGTACAATGGAATACAATCATGTAACAAATAGCAGAATGCAGTTTCCTTTTGCAGTGGAAGGGCATAGAAGAGTGGATCATGTGGCAAGTTAAATCAGTAACTAGATTAATTCTTTTGGTTGATGTTATAATAACTGGAAACATGGGTCTTTGTCTTGGTCTGGATTTATCCTTTTTGACTTCTAAGGTTCACAGGGCATAGATATGCTCTCGGCAGGCATGGCGTCTCTTTCTATCTTGTTGCTTCATGATTCAGCAGAACACAAGAGGCACAATATTACCTATATGTACCTATATGTACATGTGCATATATTGCCTACATGTTACATGTATGTGCATTGAACATGTGCATTGAACTAGGAAATACGTTGCTCAGAGATAAGTGCTAAACGTTCTTAGAGAATCTAGAGAAGGAACTTCTTAGGATTATACCCATTTCCATATATCTTTTCAAAGTAATTTAAAAACTCTTGGGTCAGCTACTCATCTTGTAAATACAGCTCTGCTAATGTTGAATTGGCCTTCTTGCATGTGTTATTTACAACAACTTCTATTTCTATCTGCTGTGTGGAGGAAAGAGACAAAAACTTAATTACATACTCCCAACTGTCTTCAGATTGATCATAAGAAAGTGGTTTTGTAAAGATCTTTGATCTTTATTCAATATGTAAATGCATATTCAACTTTAACAAACTGAAATTATACATGAAATGTATCTCTTGAGCAAACTCTCTTTTAAAACATTTTAATGGAGAGAGACTGACAGAAAATGAACATTGCTGCAACTTCATTCTCTTTGAACTCAGGCTAACAGTAAAGAAAGGAAGATTATTATTAGAAGGGATTAGGAAATAAAATATAAGCAACTTACTCTCCATCAAGAAAAAACCCTTTAAGTATGAATAATAATAACTGTTCTATTTTTTCTGAGAGTATGATAAAATTAAACAAAATAAATCAATGATAATACCTTGTTCTTATTACACACCTGTGGTGGCCCACTCAGCAGCAGCCTCCTTGGGTGAAAGGTGTCCATTCGGCCCTCATTTCTATTGTTGTAGTCCATATGGATTGGCTTGGGAACCGTCCATTGGCGGTAGTATAGAGACTGCTCCGTGCAAGTCATCATCTTACTCATAAGAGGGCGAAAAGAACTTGCCCACATAACAGAATGATAAGGCAAGAGGGAAGATGATTTGGGAAGTCCACTGCTGTCCGTAGAAGTAATAATGTCATAAACCAGTTTGGGCAGGAAAACTATGGGAGGCTGTTTTGATGCTTTGGTCATGGAGCATTGAGAGGTCTGTAGGATGAAGGAGTTATGAGTAGGTGCAGAGGAGAAGGAAGAGGAGGAGAAAGGTGAGGAGGATGACGAGGTGATGGAAATTTGGGCACTTTTTATGTTTTGTTTCATATCCGTCTGTTCAGTTGCTGGTGGTAAGTGTTTGCTGATTGTTGTTTGTGCCCCCTTGTCTACTTTTTGCTTCTGCCTTTCATAGATACTTGTAGTTTCTTCAGTGCTGTTGCTTAGGACTTGGTGAGGGGATTTTGCTGTATCCCCTGCTGCTATTAAAGGAGGAGATGACTCGCTGCAGAATGCTGTAACTGAAAGAAAATTTGTATTTCAACACAGTGCAACTATCTCTGCTAGTCAATGCCATAGTTAAACAAAACAAAACAAAAAAATCATTTAGATAGAGTATCCATCAAACATTGCAATCCCACTCCTGTTCTTGCTTTCACCTTTCTTGTACAGGAAGTCATAATGGGATGAGTTTGGGAGTACTCATCTCAAGCAGAAAGTGGCTTTTGAAGTATTGAAGCACATAGGAAAGATGTCAGTGATTGTCTTGTCCTCTGCTTCCCTCATCCTTTCCTCGCTTAAGGTGTTCATCAGATACTTTCATCACTCAAGACAAATACAAAATTACTGAAACCCTCATTTAAAAGAGTGTAAGAAAATAAGCATTCACAGGCTATTAACCCATCAGACTACAGAAATGTTTACACCGACGGATGTCTAGGAACAGTCCTCAGCTCTGAGTCAGATCTGATCTAACACTCACAAGTCTGCATCACTGCAGCATTTAGTCTGATCTAATTAAACCTGGCTCTCACGTCTCAGGTGCTGTATAATGCATTCACACAGCTTTTGGCCAGCTCAGAGCACATACCGAATTCATGAATGTTGGCCTTGAATATGTCATGTAGATATACCCCACAGCTAATTGCGTATTTTCTGAAAGTGGTATATTTTTACTTCATATATTCTAACTGTTAAGATGTCTTGAAAATTTAAGGCCTCATTTTAAGTTCTATGAATTCTAAAGAGGAGATGCAAATACTTCACTGCCTTCAGAGTAGATTGAGAACTGGTTAAGGAATCAGTCTCCACATGGTAATAGGAAATTCTGTCTCAAGCTGAACACAGATAAAAACAGCTTTTCCCTCATGGTGAAAAAAACAGTTTTGGTACTCACAACAACTCCACATTTTGAACTAATAAAAGTCTGTAGTTTCTCTTGGTCTCTAGAAATAGTAAGATATACGCTAGCTGCATGTTAATCTAAAGTAGCCAGTAAAGGACATTAGTGATAATTAAAAATACTACTGGCAGTATGAATGGTTTCGAGTAAAACCACAGTGACAGCCCTCAAAATACCAGTATTCAAGAGCACAGAAAAAAAAAGGAAAGGAAAAAACATTTCTTTAACCATAGGCAAATTGAGTCCACAGAGCCACAGGCAGGCCACATGGACACTGTGGAACTGGTGAGCAGCTCAACTTTAAAGAAGAAAAAAACATTTGGAAAATTAAAGTGTTGATGTGATGAAGCTTATCCAAATGTTTTCAAGATATTTTTTTTTTCCTTTTGTAACCATCACTGTGCCTGTAGAAAATAAGTGATGGGCCAAATATGCATGTCTCCCTGTTGAAAGCTACAATTAGATCAAAAAGAATTTACTGTTACAGACAGAAGTCAACATGTTTTAAAAAGCTGCATGAGATTGCAATTCCTATGGTACAATTTATATTTCCCACTTTTATTAAACTGTCCTTTTAATATTATCTGCATAAAAAGCATGCAAAGAAATTTGTCAGATAAAAGAGCTGGAGTAGTTCTCAACACTACCTCATACTTTCTACATCAGTTTGCAGATTAAAAAGGAACCAAAGATATAAAAAATTGACCACCTCCAAAACACCTTTCAAACAGTGCAAAATTAATGAATGAACATTTCAGAGCAAAAACAAAAAGGTAAAAATACCAGTGAGAGCAAGTATACTTTTTCTCCTAAAGATTTTCAAAAGATTTTTTAAAAATGTGAAGCATGTTTTCTTTTTCATACATTTTCATAGCTTCAGTGAACAGTCAGCCATCACAGCACTAACTGAGGATTCATACCTCAGTGGCACATACTATAGAAGTGCCTGGTTTAGGCACTCTACCCTATGATTATTTTTCAAGCAAGAAATGATCTTATTTCTTATATTTCAGAAATCTGATGCTTGTTCTTTTTAACGTTATCTTTAGTGATCCCATTGCAATAGGCCTTACCAAAACCTTAGTGATTAATGCCTTTTATTATTTCTCTAATAAGCTGAATAAAAGGTCTCTTTTATGTCCTAAGTGTAACTTAATAGAGATGATCTTAAGGTCTTACTGGAAGCTTTTGAAGAGAGAGATGAAGATGCAGAGCCATGGGAACGAGACCTTTCTCTTTTCATAGGACTTCTCTTTTCTGAAGTAGAACCTGTTTCAGAAATGGTAAGAGGGGAAAACAAAACCAAAATATAATTTAAGTTAGCGTGGGAGAAGGCACAGCTACATTGTCAAAGTAGGGAGAAGCACACAGGAGTTTGTTTTGGTTTTGTCCTCATTCTGACACTGTTTTCAGTGTGGAGAGTATCTGTTCCCACCACACAATATTGGATCAGCCTATGGTCTAATCTAACTATGCTGAGCTGCAATAGCTTCACAAAATCAATGCTGCAGCCAGGAGCTGGTAATTTCTAGGTGTCTCAACCATGTTTTCTCTTTCTACCCATGTCTTACTTTCCCCACTAATCCAGTGTCAGGGAAACCAACAGGCAATGAGCTCTATTTTGTCAGTATGTTATGAAATTACCTCCTACCCCATACATTACAGCTTATGGCCAGATTACATCTCAGCTTTTGGTGATGAAAATCCGTTTTTGGGTGGCCACCAAGGATATTCACTTGAGGTTCCTGGCTTAAGCTTCTGAGTTAAAATGCTTGTTTCTGTACAGATTTACCATGATAAACAGAGTCATAAGCACTGCCAGCAGAAAACTTAGACTGTAATTTTATCTCAGATGTTCTGAATTGGACTTTAGAAGAGCATACTGTACTTCATGGGGCAGGAAAGTAGCCTCACAATGTCGATGCCTAACAACTTAGCTGCCCGTTTGACTCAGATCACATACAGTCTCGGCGTACTTTAACTAAAGGAACAGAAGCACTCATCACATCTACAGTAGGTCTCTATTGTAGACAGTCCGAGTATGACCTCAGGTATTTTATTTCTCTATGAAAAGTACATATTTGATTAAAGCAAATATTTTTGTTCTGTTTGTTCTGTTATCCTTATTATCAATGAGTTAGAACTAAATAAGTGAACAGTAAGTAGCTCTTTTCTTCCTCATAGTATAGAAAAGGAAATAAAGGCGAGCAGTTTCAGATTTAACTAACCTATGGGGATAAAAATCCCTTGTTCTCCACAGTTGCAAGGCACAATAGACAATTAAAAAAAATGTAAATAACTTCACGATACCTGATGATGCACATTAACTGTCACTCAAAAAAACCCCACCAACAGTTCCTGGGTAATTTGTTTCCACATTTATGTGTTCTTAATTGCTCTCTAAAGAATTTATAAACTTATCAACTCTACACTGTCAATTTGAATTCATGGACATTTTCAAGGAGTACTCAGAAGTTACTATGTTTAGATATATTTTCTAGCCATACTATTTGTATTCCACTGCTTCTCAGATGGCAAAGCGCATGCTTCCCTGCCGTGGGGAGGGCAGCCCAGCCCAGCCCTCTGAACAGTGAGCATCACTGATGTACCCACTTGAGCTCCACTTTGAGGCTGCCAGAACATACAGGGCAAAGAATGGAGGGAGGGAGAGGAGAGAAGGGAGCGAAAAAACAGAGAGAGAGAACAGATGCAGCAGGACTGCAAGAGATTACAATGCAGCAGCAGCAGCAGTCCCTGGGCAGGGAGGGTGAGAAAACACAGGTTCAATGAGATGAAGCAAAACCGAGGAGCAGAGCTCTCCCAGTAAGGCTAACTCCGGAAACTCTCACTAAGTAGGTATCCATACAATCCTGCTTTTTCTAATACAACTCAATCATTTCACAGCTTCTTTTATTATCACGACTAATAATACCTTCTGTCGCTATTTCTTCATCTTCATTATCAGTGCTGCTTAGTTTCTCTGGGTCACTTTCTAACACATCATTCACAACTGCTTTCTCTGTGTGAATTTCTGAGCTCACAAAGTATGCTGCCAAACCAAGTTCTTGCTCCAAGGTTGTCCTTACCAAAGAAGATGAATTTATTAAACGTAGGTCACAGTATCTCAGTGATCTGGAGAGAAACAAGAGGGGTTAGTACGAAAACTCACTGTAATCTACTCCCTTATTTCTTTTACAAGCACAGGGGATTTTTTTCATGATCCGCTTAAACCATGGATGAGATAGAACACAGTATATCTTTTGTGCTTAATAAGTTTACCACTGTGGTGCATACACTTTTTTTTCTTAATCCCATTATGCAGCTTAATCAAGTGCATGCAACATTAGCATCAGCATAAGAAAAAGAGTAATCATTTGGGTTCTAAGCCTAACACTCAGAATGGGGTTCAGTTGAACACACAAAAGCATTCAGTGCCCCAGGGCATCGTGCCCGGCTTCCAGCTGCCATTCCAGAAGGCATTGATCTCTCCACCATCCTGTAGCGCATAGGCCAGCATCATGCAGGTGTCTCAGCTACCCTAAGGTAGCTCAAGTAGCTATACTTTTTTTTTTGCATACCCTTATTGTCTCCTCTAAAGTGGGACAACTCTCATAACATTTCCTCAGCTACTTATACCTTGCTATAAACAGGAGGTTATTATGTATAATGTTTCGTATTTATGACATAAAAACTGCCAAAAAATGGAAAAGAAACATCTTGACTCTTATTTTCCCACAAGTAATTACACAGTTAACCTTTAGCCATTTCATAAGCAATGGATAAAAAACTGCCACTAAGAAAATACTGGATCTTCTTACCGTGGCAAAGACTCCCCTTGTGGATCCATACCACTAAATATCAATATACAAGGCAAACCTTCCAATTCCAAATAGGTCTGTGGCCTCCAATCTACATCTTCAATTTTCTGCCAGACCTGTATAAGGTAAGAAACACTGTTGGGCATATCTACATGGCACAAATAAAAACACAGAAACATATACATTTATCATCCATTATATGACTCAATTTGTACAGTGGATGGATGTCCCACCAAGGGAAGCCGCAGAGCAGAGCCATTTTCTACACAGGTAGATTGCACAGTTTCTAGAGCGTTACAGGTAACAATCTGCCTGCTGTAAGTCTGAGGAGACTGGGAGAGTACGTTCCGGTTTGAAAAGCCTCCCAGCTTCCCAGCTGCATAGCACTGAGGCCAGGGCACAGACAGGTAGAGTGGATATGGTACAACAGACAGTAAAGCTGAATAGGAGCTGTGTAGGAGAGTCTTCTCTACAGAGGGTTGCTTCTTGTGGCAGATAATGTCTGAGTCCAAGAAAGAAAATGAACTAGGGATGAGCCTTTTTTCACCTTAGAGGAATAGGGGAAAGCTGGAAGTGTTCAACACACACATACTGCTGTCCTCACTTGCTACCCTCTGAAGTCTCCTGCTCTCCGCCAAAGCTATCAGTTTTCCTGATAACTTCATGAGAAGTTTGATAACTAGAACTATTGTTTGACTATTTAACATCAGGCTATAATGCTTTGCTGCTTTACTCACACCAGTCAGTCCTTTTTGCTGTAAGAATGATCTACAGAAAAAGTACACAGTAGGACCAACAGTGTGACAACTCAGCCTCTGACATTCGTACATGTACCACCATTATGCATGTCAGAGAAGATAACCAGGATATGGTTCAGAACTAATACTGATTTTTCACATGAAGTTATGCTTAATTTATAGCAGAGTGAGATCAGCATTAGGCCCTGGATCTCCAATGACTTGATCTAGCATGTATTGAATCAGACACAGTACAGGGTGTACCATGTATATATTACACCATCCTAGAATGTAAACACATTTTTGCTTTGGTGATCAGATGATGGTAATTTTATGAAAGCAAAGCAGTATCAGAGGCTTTTTCTAAACAGATGACCCACGACTCTGGATCTAAAGGATATAAATTAATCCATAAACCAACACATGGTCCAGAAAACACCAAGTCATGAGCTGTGAATACTGCAGTGCTCTGGGATCCATAATTAACATCACTGATTTGGTGCCTTCCTGCCACCTGCTGGTGACAAGAATAATATAACTCACAACTGGTCATTGATAAATCTTTTTGCAGTAGCATGATGTTGTGAGAAAAGTCTGCTAAAACTGTGGCAATTTTATTTAGCTTTTTTTCCTTATTGCTCATGGTCACTGTAGATAAAAGCAGTTAACTGTTTGGGAGCGTTGCTGCTGGAAGCCAAGTTCTAGCCACATTAGTTAATACACCCCTGAGTATTAACCAGAGGTAGGACAGTAGAGGTGTCACAGACAGTATGTCTAAAACATAAAAGTCATGCTCCTTATGGTAGTTTTTATTTTTACTAGTAAGACCCGCACTTCAGCTCATGACCATAACTCTCACCAGTAAAATCTCCCCACCCACCCATCTAATGAAGCTTCCCAATACATGTTGTTCTGCAAGTTACCTTCAGTTGCTCCACAAAGCGCTTCCCTATTGTGATTCCAGAATTAGGATTTCCCAAGATTATTTCAAAGTTATCTTCAAGGGCTAGTCTTTCCCTTACGTTATACAGACGTTCATATGCCACTGCAGCCAGCGGAGTACAGGGAATTCTCAACACTACCATGAGACCATGACCACTAGGACATTGCCTTGAAGAGTTTATTAGGTTTTGAGTGATTTCCAGAGTTTCAACTGAGGTGTAATTCTTCATCTGAGAAAGACCACACACTGCCATCATAGCTGCAGAGTAGTGTTGTATGAGGACAAAAGTCCTTATCACTGCACTGTGTAATCTGGGGAACCTGAAATAAATGATGAATTAAACAGTGAAGTATTAAAGGCTACAGTGAAAAGCTAATTTTTACAAAATATAGTAAACTCAGCATCTTCTCCTGTAAAGAATCCTTCATATCTATTATACAACAGAATCTCACCAATTGCAGTTGGATAGGCTTTGCAAGGCATGATTTCACAGTCAGAACTGATGTCTCTCCATTTCTTAGTAAAGATTTACTAAGCACATAGTCCAGTAAGGCTACACCACTTTAAGTTACCAAGACTTTACTGCTGTTACAAAAGTTACCACAGAATATTTGCTAAGGCATTCAGTAATATCATCAATCAAAATTATATTCTTTTATCAATGAGAATAGTATTCTTCATTATGTGTTACTCTTAAGGGGTGGGAGTCAGGGTGGGGTGTTTCTCCTACTGAAGCCCTGAACCAACTTACTCATGTTTCCAAGAGGACTGAATATGTAGGCAGCATCCAACGAGCACTCCAAGTTCCCAAGCCCAGGTACACCCTGTCTCAATCCCCAGTCTACGGAAGGGAGAGATGCGGATATGCAATAGTTTCCTGTGCTCTGGTTTTCACAGAAGTAAAATCCAACTGCACAGTAAAAAGAGGAACTGTGGTTCGCTCAGAGAAGTGCCTGATACGTGTGATCAGAGCTCCAAAGCACCCTCTAGCAAGCCCCAGCAGTTAAGCTTGGATGTGCTCAGTCTCCCAGTTGGCAATACAAATTCACAAGATTTTACTTGTCCTGTCTCATTCTTCTTATAGATCCCAAAGAGATCATTCACAGCTGCATGTATGCACATAATCTGTCACTATTCTTTTGCAGTGATTCTAGACTTGCTCCACAGGGACCAAGGAAAACTGATGATGTATTTTCAAGCTCTGATGATGCTCTGAAGTTTTTATTGCTGATTTAAGCGTACAAATCACAGTGATATGTCTACTTCTCTTTGTGGTTCAAGTGCAATATACACAAATTCTACACATCAAAATCAGTGAGGGTCAGCAAGTGATAATATTGGACAAAAGTAATAACACATTTGAAATTACATGATGATTCAATGTTAGATTATTATAATATATCAGTAGCTACTGGTCACAACAAGAACACACTCTAAATTGGGCTAAACGGTGTGAATGTTCATAGTAAGAGGCAGCCTAGACTGATTAGATTACATGCCAAATATATACCAAAAAAAAGATGGAAGGAAAAAATAAGAAAGAGTGGAACACCCTTGCATACACAGCTGATTTGTGGGACAGTGAAGAAAAAAAAAAAAAAAAAAAAAAAACAGGCTTGTGCTTGTAGCTAGTAATTCAAGTCACTAGAATGCACCTCCTAAATTTCCTGTGTTAAATAAAGAAGAGTACTGTACCTTTTTCCCAAAGCCATGACCATTGCTTCAAAAGAGCTGTCATACCGAAGCAGTGGAATACTATGTCCAGAGAGGGTAGACTCAATGAATTCTGACAGTCCAAAGTATTTCTTGTTTTCGTGGTATAAATCTACACCCTAAAGCAAATGAAGCAATATAAATATAAAGGTACAGTTTATCTATTATTAATTTACAATTTATTAACCATTGGTATCTGATATATTTGCAATCATTCTCCAATGAGCATATATCTTCTCAGACATATTAAAACAAGGAGAGAAAGAAAGAGAATCAATTTTTTTGAGAACAGAAGTTTGACCCAATTTTTCCTTGTTTCTTTCTCTTTCTCTCTCCCCACATATACATAGACACAGACAGAACAGCTATGTATGGAATAAATATGCACACATATGAAGAAAACCCATGTATATGCATATATTTATGCACCAATGCACTAGAGACAGATTTTCAGATGGTTTCCATTTATGTAGCTCAAAGATTTTTAGCAGAGCTACTACCATTTATAGAAGATACAAAAGGAATAAAGGAAAAAAGTAAGGAATGACAGGATAAGCAGAGGGAAAAAGAACTTGCCACAGACTGACCAAGAAAAAGATGCCATGCAAACTTCATTCTTGTTTACAAAAATCATGGGGCCTCCACAGTTTTGCCAAGTACATAAATGTAAAATGACTTATGAAAAGCTCACAAAAGCACCTCAAAGCATCCATCTTACATTGCTGTATGAAGAAGGCCAGTGGATCTCATTGTAAGGGCTGATATGCGTATGCTGTGTCTGCAGCGCATAGGGGAAGGAAGTCACATGGAGGGTCACAATATTTGGTGCCTCTTTCACCTCCCTGCAGTTCAACAGTTTATCAACGAGTCCTGTAGACAGTTCTGTTTGAGGATAAAGGCTGTGCACAGCACTGCAAAAAAAGAAACGCAAAACTCTCCGAAGTGATCAGCACAAGGGAACATTTGTGTCAGTGGAACAGCTTTAACCTGGATGTGAAATCAAAGTTAAACATGTACAAGGAACTTAAGATTCTGCCTTGTTTTTGTTGCATAGAAGGATGGGAAAAGGAAAGCAAATTATTTCAATGCAGCTGAAAATTTCTGTAAGTCTGATAAGCTCTATAGCTAACAAATTACCAGTCCCTTACAGCTACCAGTATATGAGAGATAAAGGGTGAAAGGAAGCTGATGTTTTGGCAGTTACAAATAGATGCATAGTCCTGTCATAACTTTGGCCAGATTGTTAGTGCAGCCCTTAAGAAAATATAATTCTTACCTACAAAAATCAAGATAGAAAATGTCAGACAGTAAGTCAGTATGCAAGAAAAACAGAGGGAAACCACCTGTGATAGAGCTATTATGAAAAGGAAAAATAGTTATTGTTAGGGCAAATACCAGTATCATGGAACACCTACAGTCAATTCCTTGCTCCAGTGTAAAACTTCAGTCCAAATTCACGCTATTTAATTTTTGGCATTTACCTGCAGTGACTAAGTTACAAGCCCAATCACTGCAAGCCCCTTCTATTGCCAGCAGAGAGAGATAAGTGACTCCAGAAACTGGGTTTGTCCACCCATGATCTAAGTCAGCCCTCGGAGATGCCCGTGTCTCTGTTGTGACTATGTGGGCAATCCCAGACAACTACAATCCTGTTTTAGGCACCTCATTTAACTGACTTCAGTTAGGTGGCATGAATCCTGCTGTGCAGAACAGTCAATTTTTTGCCACTTACATATCTTTATTAGATAAGAGAAAAAAATATCAGAGTTAAGCGGTAATACAGGTACTTCCCTACCACTCAAGGATGTTACATGAATAAACGCCTTGAAGACTGTGGCAGCTGTAATAGGCCAAGTAAGTTCCTAAGATATAGAGGAGTTGAACAGGAAGGCCTCACAAGTGAAAATAAAGTTCTGGTGAAAATCATCATTCTTAACCAGTATGAAAGACAAGCCCTTTCCATTTCATTCACAAGTAAGATTCCATAGTTTTTGGTTTCAGAAACACTACTGTGCTCCCGAAGTTGGAATACGTTGGTGTTTCTGGAAATCAGTATGTCCTCCAAGCTCCCCAGTGCCTCAGGAGCCAGAAACCAACTTCCCAGCAGGCAGATTGTTGAGGAGCGAAAGAAACAGGGCTCTGTGAGGGAAGCAATGATTTTTGCAAGTGAGCTGATGAGGAACTCTGTAAACATCAGATAGAAACCTCTCTGCTTCCTGAGAAGGGTACCTAACATTACTATGTATCCACACAAGCTCTCAATTATTACATATCAGTGATTCTGGATGGAAAAAAAAAACATTGTACTGGAAAATTTCCAATCAGTTAAAAAATAAGCAGCAGTGTCGGCTCACTAGTTGTCTACTCACTGTGGAGGGGTTCTGCATGTTTTACAGCCCAGAGGACACTGACAGAGGATAATGAGCTCTGTGTGCTTTCACAGGAAGCTTTCCTTTGAACAAATGACAACCAGCCAAAAAAACAGTAGCTGTGGCTGAAAGAAGATAAGAATGGTGAGCAAGGAAAGCTGAAATGTTCCACTGAGGCATAGTATAATAACCAAGATAAGAATAAGTCATGGAGGACCTTAAAAGAAAACATGTTTATTCAACGCATGGGAAGAGGGAGTTAGCAGAAAGATGCAAACAAAGATGAAGGAAGAGATCAATCAGAAAGCTGATCTTGAGAGCTAATGTAAACAATAATAATTTCTCTAATAACAAGTTACAGTTTTCTTACCTCATTAGATCCCAGTGTGCGTGATCATGGATTAGGACAAACAGTGTATGTGGATTCTGCATAGAGTTTTGTAAAAAGACTTTGAATTTAATCTGGGCTTCTGCATCTAGTTTTATAACATACTGTTCCAGTCTCTGCTTTGTAAGATGTTCCTTTTCTAATCCAAGTTCTAATAAGATACCTAAAGAAATGGAACAAATGTCAGTATTTCCAAATAGAAACGCATTTAACAATTTCCTGTAGATCTACAGTAAAGCTAATTAATGAGCACCTGAGTGCCAGAGATGAAACAAAGTCTGCTGATAAGTCACTTCGGAAGGTGGAACACAAATCAAGAAATCAATTTTCTCGAAGGAACCCAAATCAAGATTTTGAGTGCTGGAGTCAGCAATTGAGCAAATATGAGACAGCAATTTCTGAGCCACTGCTAGCTGGAATGGACGAATCTGATGTCGTTCAATCTCATAACCTGGAAAAAGGCAAAATTCTGTTTAGATATGTGCCCAAAGTCTAATCTAATGCAAAATGTTAAGAGTCTGGCAAAGAATGATTGATCTACACTTTCAGGTACTTTGTTTATGAACAGAAGTTCCAGTTCATGAAAATCTATATGGAATGTGCCAAGAAATCTTTCTGCATTTGGGCATTTTGGTCCTATAAGTCTCTTAAATGTCCGAGAGCTGAAACTGCACTTGTGCAACAGTGTTCTGCTACCATAGAAGTAAGATTTAGAGCTTCAGAGAGCACAATACCCAGTGGAATGAAGCAGAGCATCCATCAGCGTCAGTGTGAACATCCCAAGACATGAGTTGCTGTTTGCCTCGGGACCTTTGTCTTCAAGAGCCTACGACTCTTCCCAGAGGGATCTAACTGCACAGCCAGAGACGTGGTCTCAAGTACCCTACTCTGTTACCTCTTTAGAAAATCCTTCTTACTTACTTGTACATGCAGCTGCTCCGGTTCCATTCAGTGCTGTTGGTTTATTCACTGAAGCAGAAAGTGATGAAGAGATGTGCCCTTGGTTTTCCTGATAAAATTTCTCCAGCAAAAGATCAATGTCACCCTCTATCAAATTGAAGGGACAGTGGAATAAACATCCATGTTAATAAGAGCTGTGTTTCATACTGATTTTGTTTTGTAGATCTTAAAGAGCTTTATATATGCTAGCTAGTTATCCTGCCCTTGGGTTGTTGGCTGTTTTATACAGGAACCCGCTCGTTATTTTCTATTGAATCTGTTTTTACAGCATAACACTAATAAAATGCAAATCAGGCCAGGCAACTAGGCTAGGATATTTATGGAGGATGGTACAAAACTAGTCTTAAGGACCTGACACAAATCAGTAAAAAAACAGACATGAAACTGGCTTAGTTTATGTTCAGACCATGGAGCTATACTGTTCACTAATAAGGACTGCAAGAAGCTTTGGGGAATCTGATAAATATTTTTAAATCTTTAACATTTTTGAGAGACAGAAAGAAAAATAATTCCCTGTAAAGCTGAAAGAGAAATTCGAGTTTTGTAGCTACACGCAACGCTGAAGCAGGCAAGGCATGTTTTATTGAACTATGCATATCTGCAAATATATCCTATTCTATTCAGCAGAGGCCCAGCCGAAAGCTATGCAGAGAACACAGCATGTCCGTCCTGAGTATTTAGTATTTTCTCAGCCATTGAAAAGACGTTTGAACATGTCTCCACTGAGCTCAGGAAGGCAGGGTGTGCCCTGTGAAGTGCAATCCAGTCGATATAGATGGCAACTTTTTTTAGGATGCTCATTTGCTTGTTCTGCTCAAACAATAGCAACAGCAAAAGTGATTTTGAGAACCATACTTTGAAGAAATTAAGAGCAGAAACACTAACATTACTGCGCAATGGTTCAAGGAAAACAAGTTTCTCTTAAGTGATCACTCAAACTAACACGACACATCCAGAAGGGTTCTTGTGATCTCAGTACAGATTTATCAACATGACATGAATGGCAAAGGGACTGTGACATCCCGTTAACACTGACAAATGTGCTGCAGTTGCTCTAGTTGTGTGATTACATTTAACTTTCCAGGTGGCTGGATCTATGCCCAGATAATCCAGTTTGTAGTAATCCTCAGTATACTCTGTTAAAAATGATCCAGTAACCCTGTCTCTCTGCAATTTTCCTCTCTTTCTGATGCATTGCGATCAAGTTCACAGTATGTTATGTTGAAAGGACAAATCCTTTGATAAAATAACTCTGTTCTATCACGGTCTAAACAAATTCTGTGCTTAGGGTAAAAGAAAGTATACATTCATACTGATAAGGATTTGCATAGTATAAATGATAGGGTTTGCATAGCTAAAAATAATATGCTCACCTATTTGCTGGCATATTTTTATGAAACTGAGGGATTTTAGAAACTGGCACTTTCAAAAGGAATTTCAATTCAAGTGTACTTTCACGACTTTGTCCTGCATTTTTCATATATTTCTAACAATGCCTTGCTTCTGGAAAGGTAATGAGCACAGCTATTTTCTCTGACTTAGAAGTTTCAGGGACTTGGAAACACTCCTCTTTATAACCTGTTAGGTACCTGGGCAGAGTGTGCTAAAGAAGGACCCCAGAGTTTCCACCTTCCCCGTGACCAGCTGATAGTTAACTTCTTTTTGGTAGTCTGAAGGAGTGAGCATGCTCTCAGACAGAACTCTCGCCTGATACTTTCCTAAAAGACAAAATAAGTAATTTTGAAAGCACTTCAAACTGAAGTAAAAATGGCCTTTTTTAATGAATATTACACACATAAAACCGGCAGAGATGAGTCTTTCATCTCTCCTATACATGTATATACCAGACACCTGTAAGACAGAGTCATGTTTTTTAATTCTTTGTGTTTCTTTCCCATTTTTGGAAATATTTGTTCATGCAGTATATAAAACGAGCATATAAATAGTCAAAGGAATTTTCAACTATCTTACACTCATAATGATTCTTTGAATGGCTATTCAAATAATGTATTTAATTATCAGCATGGCCCTCAACAGGTTGTGGAAGGGAATGACATCGAAAGACCATCTTTTAGAAGCTAAGAAAATGTTCGGTCCTCTGCTCACAGTAATATCCCAGTCACACAGAGCAGGAGAGCTTTATGCACTATGTGTGCTGTAACTCGCCATTATTTGTTTGCAGTAGCGTTGGCTGGGATGCCTTGCTGAGAAAACAGGTAACACAGGCAGAATGTGCTCTGCTGGGGAGAGACCCAACTGTGCAGCATCAGCTTGGCTTCTTCAAAACCCATTTGTTGATCAAAGTTCTGCTTTCTGAGGCAGCTTATGAAAACTTCAATCAAACTCCTCATAGTACTGAATTACTCTGTTTTGCCTGGAGATCCATCCTTGGGATCTTACCTGTTATCACAATGCAGGAATCAATGGCTCGATTTCTACTGGCACATATGATCACCACGTAGTTTGTCTTTATTAATTTTCCTTCAATGAGTAGCTTAAACATTTCTGAAAGCCCTTCAGCCAGAGAGTAGCTGCACTCAATGATATGGACGCTATCGTTACAGGAGCTAGCTGCGAGGCCGGCCAGCCAGGGGAGCTGGGCTGAAGTCACTGGTGCGATCTGGCTGGGCACTTGAGGAAAGGTCTGTGGAAGAGCCTGTTGGTACTGACGGATTTCAGACAGGTGAGATTCCCGCCATGAACGCATGAATATTTGTTCCAAATCCTCAATCAAAGGTACCTGGTCTGAGGCTAAAAGAAAATGAAGTGAAATTAAACAAAACCGTTGAATTAAAAACAAATTTTTTTTTTTTCAAAATATGTACTTTTTCAGAGATGATCATGTCTCAGATTTATGCATGCATGACTCTACTGCCTTTAGCAGATGTGAACCAAATTTTTCATTTTGAAGTGCCCTAATTTGAACCTGAGTATAAGTAATTATAAATTAGTATTAGTAATTAGAAATATTTAAGAAGTTGAGTACTGCCTGCCTCAGCACTATACTACTTCTAAACTACAGACTGTACACAAGAGCAGTGAATTATTGCTCTTTTCCTTTTTTTATTTTTAGTTGCTGAGGTCCCAGATCGTAGGAGAAGATGAACTTTGTATGTATGATTATGTTTCAACCTTTCTCGTCTTCAAGAACTAATTATTTAGCTTTGTTTCATTACCACAAATGAAATTGTTTAATATCATTTGTCCTAATCTGATATTTAATATTGTCCTGTTCCTTTCTCCTTTGCTGGCATGTAATACATACATTGCAGCTTCTCTGGGTGTAAAATAATCTTACCTAGTTGAACAAGGTAGTAGACAGTCAGTAAGAGCTGCATTTCCTCTGAAATAGGCTGCATTGTGGAGGCACCGTATTGTTCATATGCTCTAGATAAAGACTGTGAATTTCTGTAACAGGTGTACAACAAAGGACTCACTATCACATCATTAATGTTCCCACAAAGATATGGGAAGTTTCCATGACCTACAAAATAAACAACGTTTGTACATATCACATGAATTTCATTTCCCATGAATGCATTAAACAGTTTTAACAGTAAACTTTTTAAAATTGACAGCTTTAGTAGCGTTTAGTGGTAGGATGTATCTTTACATCTCTTACAAAAAAGATTTAAGGTCTTGTTGGGGGGTTGGGGGTTTTACCTTTAAAAATAACTGGCTTTGCTTTGCAGATTTTCAGCAAGTTGTCAGGAACTGCCACCGGCTCTCCTGAGCCCACCATCGGAGATGAGGCTGGCCCCACCAAGGCAGAATGTGGTAAAGATGATAGGCTTCCTCCATCTAAGATTTTAGATATATTATTACTGGAATCAGGTCTAATAATTATTTCCTTAAAAAAAAAGTTATTCAACATCATCTCATATCCACATTTGGTATCAGTATTAAACACGCTTTTATGGTTACATCAAACATTTCATGAGCCATTACTACCACCACCCATGCTATTATGCTAACTTTCTTGCAGGACTAATTATATTCTTGCAACCTTGAACATCACACGTGCATCTAAAGTTTTTGAAATGTTTATAAGCAAACAGTTCCAGGTATGAACGCAAGAATACAGAGATTTATGTGATATCAATGCACAAATAGTTATGATTTGTGTGTTCTGTATCATATATTTAGTTTCACTGCTTCTAAACGGGTTTTCTTGCTATAGCAAGAAACAAAAAATTAAGATTCAACATTTGCTCAATCATAACTTCTTCACAGCAATTTTAATTTAAACAATAGGGCATTAAAGGAAAACATTTGGAGGAAAGCGGGTTTATTTCCCTTTGTGTCACTCTAGTCTGTGTCTAGACTATAAAATCCAAGTGCCAAGAACACTGTGACACATAATTGAAGCAATGGATGGTATCTTGACCTGAGTTATGACACTAATTTTAATCTCCCAAAGGTGTTTCGGCGTATAAAGATGGACATGGGCACCTGTTGGGATTTATTAGTAATGACTCGATGACTGGATCCTAATGAGAGTTAAGTTCAGAGCCTGAAAAAGAAATCAATGGAAATGAAGCACCTAAATGTAAGCGAGCACATCGTTATCAAACACGTTTCAAAACTCTAATGCGAATCTGTATGGGTCTTTAAAATATTGCCTCTTTCCCTCATTATTTTCTGAACAATGAAACAAACATTATCATTACTTCAGATATAGTACTTACCGTTTTTAATTCTGTTTGGAGCCTGTGGGTTGAGCTGCAAGTTCCAAGTTTCAGTAGACGATGGAGATTCTGGTGACCAACCTTTATGGCGCTTTTTTGGAGGCCCTGAATTTGTTAAAGTACCTGAATAACAGTAATATTTCAGAAAAGTATTAGAATAACATTTATTCAGTTTTGTGCATGGTAATTCAATATGTTTTGATAGATCGAATGTTTGCATTAAGTACTGTGGTAGACAGGGTCAAGTCCATGAATATAATAATTTTTTATGCTTTTTACTTTACTTTGCTATGTCCTGCTTAAATTTCTGGGAACTTTCTGGTGCAGAGAACTCTTAATTATCTAGGTAGGCTTCAATTATTTCATACCAACATTTACTCTGTACTAAGAATAACATAGTAACATAGTAAGAATGAAAAGTACTAAGGATGCTTATAAGTGTTAATATTTTGAAGTCAACACTGTGGGCATTTTGCTCCTTTTATTTCTGAACACATGACACTGTTTCATGTAACTTATTGCAAAATAAAATTCTCAAGTGTTTCAGGGTAATATTAATAAGGATGTGAGTTCTTTTCAACAATTTTCCCATTTACAGGATTTTTGCCACTTCTTACTGGTTACCATCTTTGTTTTTATGTTATTCCATATTAACTCCTAGCAAATTACTTCTGCACTTTCCTCCTATCCACGTCTGTAACACCTTTGTCTGTAAAAATATAACTTCCTCACAATTTTTCTAGGAGCTCCTGATGATTAGTTTCTTGACTTTTCTACCATTGATTTTTCGAATCCTATTGTGTACTCCTGCAATCTCCTAGAATGATAAGCTTCCACTAACATCAAGTATTTCTAATTATTGAGATCCAATGGTCCTCCAGGAATTGCTCAGCACCTTGCAGGATTTAGCTATTTCTATTTCTGGACATGACTGCAGAGATCGTAACACTACTTCACACTGGCAGGGCAATATCTCCTGGCAGAATGGTTAGTCCCACATAAAATTCAAGACAGAGTAAGAATCTTATATAAAAAAGCAGATTTTAATTTCCTAAAGATATTAAAATTAAAAATAAACCCGAAGTCTTCAGATCTAGAATAAGATTGTTCGCTTGCTGAAGAACCTTACATACAGGTTTTCAAATATGACTTTGTCCTTTAAACTTTTACCACGTGAGGGCGGCATTTAGCCATTTGTGCTACTGATTCATTTCCTTTCCTGGTATAATGTTGTCACAAAAGTCACAAGATAAAGCAATACAAAGAATCTTTTATTTGAAAATGCCGTACTCTGTCCTGCAGTCCTGCAACTCCTCTGTCCTACAACTTCCACATGTTGACATGTGAAAGTAATCTATCTGAAATGGATTGGCAAGAATATGTTGCTGCATGGAAGAAAGAGATCAAGAACCTGAATCGGTAGAGGAAAAGAATTTGGCTGTGATGCCAGCAGGGAAACTTGGGAAGGCTTATTCTAAAATAGAGCTACAGCATGTTTCTAGCCATAGTGAAGACTAACTTTCTTGCTTAAACAAGCCAGTGACACAGAATACAGTTTGTGACAGAAAACAATTAACACAAATCATGATAATAATGGTGCAGTGAGGACAGTTTCTTTAATTTGGAGCCAGTTGTCAAAGTCTAATGCTCCACTCCAAGGTGAAGCACAACACAGGAATTATCCTATGAGTGATTACTTATAAATCTTTCTTAATTCCCTTCACAAAACCTATTGGTGAGATTGATGCAAACTGACACATTCTTTAAGAACCTGGATTCATAATCTAGTCTGTACTTGTATTAAATGAATGAACTGTAAATATAGTGAAAAACTTCCAATTAATAATTTGAACTGTAACAAAGCTATGGTTTATAAGAAAACGTATAAACAATTTTTCTCTGAAAATTAACAGAGAAAAAAGTGTTATGCTCAGAAAGGACTTGGAAGGAAATAGTAAATCCTATTCATACAGGAAATTATGATCCGTGATACCATTTGGTCAATGCTTCTACTATACCCACGGAATATAGATTTTAGGGTTATTAAATAACAAACCCATACAAATACCTAACACTGAAGGTCTTGTCAGAGCAGACAGGTTATTTTTCACCAACTGTTGTTTAGGCGATTCCTTCCCATTATAAACTGCGGAGCTGAATGCTGCTGTTGAAGGGATGTGGTCTATGGCTGCAGCTGGCAAGAAAAAACCCAAGTATTTACATTAAACATTTCTAGGACAAGATTATATCAAGTGGATATTATAAACTGATCACTTGGTCATTTACTTTAGTAGAGCCAATGGGATCTGCTCAGAATGAATGCGATGCTGAATAGAACAAACCCACTTCTGATCTCATACCAGATTATTGCTGTCTGCCTCCCAGTTAAGTGCATGGGTAAAATCCAATTCTGCAATTAAATACTTGTGTCAGATCCTTTAGCTTCTTTGCAGGTGGACCCTAGCTCTTAGATGAAGTTTAGTCAAGAACTGGATAAAAGAGTGAGAGAGGTTGTTTAAAATTTACTGAAAACCTCCTAAGCCTCCATTCCATTTTGACACCCTCTTTCCAAGATTCTTTTTAACTATTCTGCATTTAAAAGAGAGGTTTTCTCAAGCATAATATGCTTGTAATTAAAGTAGCTTTTAAATATATGTAACATCTGATTAAAAAAAAAAAAAGTCAATCTGCTATTCTAAAGAGATTAATGAATTGTTCTGGAGGGGTACCAGTGTTCCAGATCACAGCTATTTCATAGAATCATAGAATTGTCTAGGTTGGAAGAGACCCTTGGGATCATCGAGTCCCACCATCTACCCTACTCTACAAAGTTCTCCCCTACACCATATCCCCCAACACCACATCTAAACGTCTCTTAAACACATCCAGGGATGGTGACTCAACCACCTCCCTGGGCAGCCTATTCCAATGTCCAACTGCTCTTTCTGTGAAAATTTCTTTCCTAATATTCAGTCTAAATCTACTCTGTTGGAGCTTGCTTCTATCTCACAGAGAGAATATAACCACCAACAGATGTCCCTCAGTTCTCCTGTGTGAATCTCTCTAAAAGTCTCAACACACTAAAGAGCTGTTTTCACTATGAAGAAGCTCAGAGAGATCACTCTAGCCTCTATGATCCATCACCTTTTGTTTATGTCATGCTAATGGAAAAGTAAATGTTTCATAAAGAATTTTTAGTACAAAAAAAGTTACAGATACTGATCATTAGTTTGTTTTTTAATATTAAAGCCACTTTTCTCAGCAGAAGAAAAAATTCAGAAGGTTTTAGGCTGGTGACCATATAATGCCTGCAGTAGAGAAGGTTCTGGTTATAACATGAAATAGACTGGATCAGAAGAAAAAGCTGAAATGACACTGGTTCCTGTAACATTTGTCATCCGTGACCAGACAAGCAACAGCTGGAGGAAGGCAACACCTCTTCTCAGCAACTTCAACAATAATGGCTTTGCAAAAGTTTTGGTTTGCCTTGGCTATGAGCAAGCTGCAGAACACCTATTTTATTATTTGCTAACCTTTTATACATAACCCTGAGGGCAAAAACTGGACAGCGAGAAGCCTTCAAAGTATGTCTGCTTGCTGTATTTGTAATATATCTCTAAATATATTCAACTTTTTTTTTTAATGTGGTAGCGTGCTTCTTTGTTTGTCTTTCCATTCACACAAGTAGACAGAAATAGGCATGCAGAGAAGAGTACGAGTAGGTGGAAACCCCACGCGTTCTCCTTCCGAGCGGTACCTGTTTGCTGAGTCCCGGCTGGAGCACTTGGGTTTGCTGCTGGGAGCGGCTCACTGGAGGTGCTTCCCGAGAGCCCCGAACTTTCCGGCAGTTGGAACAATGTGCTTGAGCAGGTGCTGGATGAAGACTGCCGGCCTCTGAACTCTTAACAGAAAAGAAACTTCTTATCCCCTGACAACAGCGGCATTTGCTTTTTCTCTGCATATTTCATTTGATAATTTCACACGGGAATTACTCAGAGGCTTCGGCACTTGGAAGGGAGGAACTGATGTCTTCAGACATGCCATACTCAGATTGGGTCAGTTAATTGCTTTTTACAGCTACTCTAGTAATCACCTAGCTTTAAAGAGTCTTTCTTTCAACTGATCTGTCTTAGGTTTTACACAGACACCAGTCCCTGTGATAGCTAAGCTTGGATGATGAAAACCAGAGCTTGAGGAAGACAGCTTCATTATCTTACCTGCCCCTTTCCAGCAGATTACAGATCCTTTGGTCAAAGCTCCCTGTGCATTCCTGACCAGATAATACTTTAAGTGTTTCTGTTTCTTGGGCTGAGTGGTCAGTTTAAGATTAATGTGATTTGAGAATTCTGTAAAGTAGCAGAAACCTTTCTTGCCACAGCCAACACAATTGCCAGAGAAGCCTGATAAAATAAACAATACACATGATCCAATGAGATAAGCAGGTAACTATTAATAACATCCAAACACAACTCTTTCCTGGAGAAAAGCTGTATTTATTTATTTATTTATCAGAGTAAACTTTTCATCAGAATTTTCCTCCAAAACATTACTACATCAAGTCCACTGCATTGGACTTTGGCCACCAGATTGCAAAAAGAGAGCCCCATGTTTGCAGAACAATTAAAATAGGCCATATTTTTTATTTTCTCTCACCAGAAAAAGACCACAGTTCCTATTTATTACCTACCTGTGAAACATTAAACCAAGAAGTTTCTGACTGAAGAGTACTGAATCACATGCTTAACCCCAGCCCTATTCAACATCACAGAAAGTACGCGCTTCACTTCTGTTTCAGCTTTCATTGAAATTAAACAGTCAATTAAGTCTCAAGAAATTAAGTATATTTCATCTATTATATTTAATTAGATCTACATATATTTAAGTACCAGGTTCCTCCTACACATGCTTTTTTAGAGAGGAAAAAATACTAAAGCCTTCCTGGGCTATTAATTTAAAGGAGCTTTCTCAAAGTATGGCTGGAGCGTGTTAGCACTTCACAGCAGTTTAAACCATTTAAGATTACAGAAACAAAGCGTCTGCAACTTTATAGATGCCACGGAGGTATAGTCCTTGCACGTAAAGACACTTATTGTACTCAGGCTTGATGGGGCATTTCCAAGGATACTGCCATTTTCTCTCACCCTGAGATACACAGTTTGAGCCTCAAAGAGGGGCTCGTGGTGGTGATGTCATTACCACCGTAAATAAAGGGCATTCCTTGCACAGCTGGCTATTTACCTTTCATTCTTAAACAACTTTTTTTGTCCATTTTCCAAAGTACTTCCTAAGAAATTTTCATCTTGTGATGACGAAGACCAGTGCGACTGTCTGAAAATACTTATTATCTACAAAGAAATCCTATAGTGTGCAATTAGAAGACAATCTTCCCCATGGAAATTTTCTCTCTGGTCGCTACATATGACCTGAAGCATGAAGTCTTCTTTTATTTTGATCATATCTACTGAACCTTTTTATGTGTCATCACAGGAATTGAAATGGAAAGGGTGTGTTCAGAGAGCTGGAAGATGGCAAAAATAAAGGAAATATATTTCACGTAACATATGGACAATAACATTGGAAATAAACCACTGGAGTAAAGGATCAATAATATGGTAGTTTAAGAACCATTCATGAAAATGACTGTTCCAATCACATATTTCAAACAAATTAAGTTTTCAAATTAACGGCCAATACTTTTTTCCTTCTGTAAAATACAAGCACTGAAATATAATGCTTTGTAAACACCTGTTGCTTGGTTTACAGCCCCAGAGCTTTCGTTAGTTTTCAAATGGCTCAGAAGAATTTATTAAAAACCTAAGTTCATGTGGAAATTGGTCTGGTACCCATGGGAACAAGTGGCTAGCAACTATTGAAAGCTGCCTATTATCTCTCTGGTCCTGGTCGGTGGGATGATAAAGGTCATTATGACTCATAAAATCAGGACAAGTCATGACTCTGCAGAATCCTCTGTGTTATATCAGTCAGCACAAAAGCATCTGTCTAACATCACAGAGCCTTCAGTAGCTGCAATAAAAGCAACAACAAAAGGAAACAAAATTAGAACGGATGTGGCAAAAGCTGTAGAGTTTGCATGTGTTTTATGCAGATTAAGAAATCATGAAAAATGCTTCTGTTAGTAAATGAAAACTTCCTATATGTTTGGCAGCACACTAAGCATGACCAGCAGCATTGCAATTTTTGCCTCGTTGCCACTTAAACGCCCTTATGTGTTTTCACATACAAGTATGAGGGCACCATTTCCAAAAGTAAAACAGAAGTACCCATGCACTTTTTTGGTTTTATCATTTTTGTGAGAGTGATCAGCAACTTGCCAAAGCCACAGGTAGAAATATTTGCTCAACAGAAGTTGGACAGTGGACATAAAATCTTTTCATGTGGACTTTAGATCAGTCATTATTGGTAACTTTTGTAAATCATCATCTGCCTAAGCCAGATTTAGCAATAACTTCTACTTGAAATAACGTTTTGCCCTAATCACCTATTTTTAACTCTGTGAGGTCTACCAGAAAATTAGTTTACACCACGTACAGCATACAGGTGAGGCCTAGTAAGGATTAAACAGATCTAAATTGTTCACTTGTGAAAAGTCCTTGAAGAACATTCTAGAAGTTAATTTTTTAATTTTGCTTCCCAGTCAAACTATCATCTTTCACCTCAGGCTTCCCCAGCTCCTCTGAGTCACACTGAGCCCTTTCTCGCAAGCTCCCGCCAACACCGTTTTTCAGCCCATTCATTCCGACTGACACTCTCTTTGATGACAGCCATTGCTTCCTTAATACGGCTCAGCACTGACATCACAGACGGAACACAGCATGCTCTTATAATTCCAATGCAATAAAATGCATTTCCACCATTACGCATTGCAGGGCCCCGCCAACGTTGCCTAGAGCACTTTATGTAGCAGGCTGAGGAACATGGAGAACCCAAACATTTCACCATCCTCCTTTCTCTGCATGCCCTGCTCATGTGCCACGGCCTGAGGCAGCAGCTGATAGAGGGGATGGCTTGTTTCATAAACAAGCTGCATTAAATATTCTTCCATACATTATAGAGAGGACAAAGGTCAGGGGAGCTGGGGCAGCCATAAGGTGACTCAATATATCTGTGTCACAGGATTGATTTCACAAGAGAATTAGAAATCAATGCCTGGAGCTTAGGGGCTAAAAGCCTTTCACCTTTAGGTCACCAGTTCATATTCAACTCAGTTCAGTAGCGACTTAAGGCTGTTACCTTCTGAAGATTGTTTAATCAGAAGGTATTTGATTGTATCTGGAATTTTGTCATATGCATTTGCTCGAATTTGCTCGCACCTCAATGATCAATTGCTCATAATTTAAAAAGCTCTTTCACAGTAGGGACCTTGTGGTCAGAAGAAGGACCTTGGACTAATAGGGCACGAAACCTGACCTACCTTCTCATTGGGGAAATCGTTCCTTTGGATCAACAGTGAGCTTGTGCTAGGGATAAAGAGAGGACTTCAGGACGGAAGGATATCCATCTAATATTTCATAATCTAATCTTTCATAAATTGGCAGAAAATTTCCTTCCTGTTTCTCTTTTAAATGAAAAACAGGTTTTTAATTAATATTAATATTTTTGTGGAAAGTTGGCATCTTGCTTAAGACAAAGAATGATTACATTTTCAACTTTTCAGCAAAGGTATTTCTTCTTTCAGTCCTACTCACAAGAAAAAGCACACAGACAATGACAATGCTCCACATTTTCCCCTCCTACTTAGCACCACTCCATTTGAAGACTGAAGTCCTAAATTTAAAAAATAAACAAAATCAATATGTTCAAGGTGGAGAGCTCCATTGTACAGAAATTCACCACTATTACAAAAGCCCAAAATGTACAGAACATTGTACATTTTAACAGAAGCAGCAACAGTATTCTATACTACAATGTTTTCATCTTACATGCAGCTTACAAATCAAAGAAACTAAACTAATCTTCTCCTCTGACATTCTGACCTCAGGAACACACCAAAAAAAACCCCAAAAAACAAAAAGATTTCTTATTCCCTGCTAGGAAAGTGGGCAGCTGTTTGGTCTTTTGGAAAGGAAAATGATGGGTGAATAGTTGCTTTGTTTATCATGAGAGACTCCCCTTAAGTGTGAGAACTGAGGAAAAAACCCCAAAAGACAATGGTACGTTAGCTGCTTTTACTAGGAAACAATAAATATCGCACTACCACAGAAGTGCTTCCTCCATCTAAACATTCCTTCAGGTTGCAAAAAAACAAGAAACATGAAGGCAAAAATCTGAATCTGTTTTGCAGAGTAGTTAAACCTGTGATCTAACTTGAATAACAGAAGCATACGAGGTACATACTCGGACACAGAGAACTTTTTCTTGCCAAAAATATAATCTTTTCCAGAAAATGGTAATTTTTCTATGGAATAATACATCGATTGTAAAAAAAAAAAGAAACAAAACAACCTCCAACAGAAATGTCTTTCAAATCACAAGCGCATATGCCTTGATGGTGGGACAACTTAGCATAATTAATAAATTGACACATGCCCCAGAGGCACATCCACAGCCCCTAATGGGAACAAGACCATAAGTCAAAAGCTGGCCTGGAAAATACTGAGACATTTCCTGTTTTCTTCTGAAATTTTTGTACACTCCACAGGCATCTTCACAAATACATGCAGGTGGACCATAAGAAATTAGGAAACTATTGGGTAATTCATTAGTGTTTTTTCCCTTCACATAAGTTATTTTGGAGAAAATCTACAGCACTGAGCAACAGCTGCCTTACAAAAACACAGTATCTGAAGAGACAAAGTATGAAATTAAGAAAAAACAATGGGGTTGAAGGGTTTCAAATGATGTGCCTGTATCACCAATAAGCCATATCAAAAGTGTGGGATATACTCTGACTCATGATGACAGCTCATTTCGATACAAAATGTATCTAATACAATTTCCCTCTAAACTTAGAAAGGCTTGAAGGGACCACTTGCCATGTTTCAAAAAGGCCGACATATTTGAAGAACAGCCAAAACTCAGAATACCAAAAATCAGCCTTCTATCCTGTCTTTAAAAGCAAGACAACAAAAAGAGCTTCCTTTCTTCATGTGAAATGTTTTCAACTTAAAACTGTCACAATACAGAGGTCACTGTGTTATACTATTAGACAGAGAATTTAAAGCATGAAGGGTCTGTCTTTTATCTCACTGTGTCTGAAACCATGAGAGTATTCATGTCTGCTTCTGATTTTATTTATCCCGATTCGATTTGCACCAGTGTATGAAAACTGGAATCAAACAATTATTTCTATCTACAGTATTGTACAAATAGTATGCTGTCTTCATGACAATAAGATATATCATGTTTTTTCATTACATTAGGGACCAGGAACATTATTTTATTTCCAGCTTTCACATGAAGACTTTGGATCTTAAAGTATGTAAGTTTTTGCATATTTAAGCTTGTTATAGAATACATAAAAGTCATCTGACAATATTATTAAAATTATTTGCAAAACAATGTGATTCACGGGTGTTTAAGTGTGTAACAACAGCCAAAAATAAGCATTTAAATGGTTTCAGGAAACTGAAATGTATTAAATAAGCAAGCTGAGGATGCAAGTAGCATAAAAACCTCCCGGTTATGTTCCCATTGCCTTTTTCTGTTCTTGTTTAGCATGCAATTAACAAATACACTACTTCCTCTCTGCTAACAGCCTAAGGAGCTTAAGCTGTTAATAGTGCTAGCACTGAATGACTTGAGTGGTACAACATTCCTGTCTTTATCTTTAAAATGACAACACGTTGGTTATTTACAACCCTCTTAATTCTTTTACAATCACTGGTCAAATGTACTGTGACCAATCCAACTCTGCAAGATCACATGAGGAAAGAAATTACTGTACATAGAATTACATTATGCACCTTCACACTACGCTGTCAACCCAAATGCCTTGAAGAGTTGCTCAAGCTGAGATAACGACTGAGTTCACGTCATATCCCTCAGTATTTGTGAAAGAAAACAGTTAAAAGACATGACAAATGTTTCCCTTTTGTTATTTAAAGCGCAGACTAGTACACAGATATATGATGCAGCATGTTTGGGTTAAAAAAGAAAATAATATATAAGAACCTGAGAGTGGTTGGTTGAAAAAAGAGTTCTCCATCCTATTATATTTGTCCAATATAAAAAGTATGCCATTTTAATAACATTAATATTCAGTTCATTCATTCACATGATTGCAGATCATCCCTATTTGAGATTATCTGAATGAGGCTAATGGCCATCAGAAAGGCTATGATAAAATAGATAGAAGGACCTAGTTTTATGTCAGAAGTCAGACCTCTGAAGACATGAAAAGCAGGAAATTAGAGTACCCTACAAACAGTAATATTCAAACACACAGTATTATCTGATTACACATATAGGAAAAAGTTTCAACTTATCATTCATATTTATTTATATTGTGACAATAGCAAAAAGTCATAGGGTAGGGTCCAGAACCCATGCTATTGTTCAAACGCAGGGGAGAATATTATCCCCATCTTAAAGAGATAGATCAAAAAACTCATAAATTTTTGTAGTCCAAACTACCATCAAACTGTTTACATGTATATAGTAGCCTGAAAGTTCCACTTGACAAACCTACAGGCTGTCCGTGTTAGTATTTGGAAAGTTAAAACAGGGACAGGCAGCAGTTCAACTAGTCCAGTTACCAGATGTGCAGTTCCAGTAACTGGGACATAAACTCATCAGACGATGACTTTAGCCTTGGACTAACGGATAGAAGGTGATGAAGCATTTCTAATGAACTGGCTCGTTCTGCATCTTTCCAAAGCAAACACAGCCAGCTCTGAGTTGTTATCTTGTTGCGCATCGCCAGCGAGCGTTACTGTAGACGTGGAACGGAAATAAGATCTGCTGAACTCATTTGGCAAAAAAGATTAACTATTAGTTGTAGCCCACAGAAGCATCCACTTACTGGAAGCACAGACACTTACCCAACAGGGCATTGTGCCCATTGTCATCCGGCAGGAATCTTTTATCCACAGCACACACTAAAAGGTGATCAGGTAAATTTGGTGACTTTGCACCAACAAGTAAAAATCCTGATGGTACCTCAATATGTTCATTGGAAATTGAAACCAGTCTCAAATCTTTACCAGCCTGGCAGAAACCTAGAAAAAAACCAATTCAACGTATTTTTAAGTTGACAAGATTTTTTTGTTTAATACTCACAATTGTTTTTATTAAAGGACTTCCTACATTTTTAATGAAAAACAAAGTTGTACCTTCTGAGGTCAAGGGCAAACTAAGAGATAATTTTCTGAATTATCTGAAAAACTGAAAAGGTACAGTAAAGTTTTCCTTGATAATGTTTTGCAACCTGCATATTTATGGGACTATTTACTAAAAGCGTCATAACTTAGGTCAGATATTCAAAAATGGAGATAATAGTTCTCAGTATCTGGTGAATTTCACTGGCTTTTCCTGGCTTTTCAAGTATTTTTTACAGCAAATTGAAAGGGGTACATTTTAAATAGAAAAGAGTGATGATAAAGCTGTAAGAATTACTACATTCATTTTAGCGAATGCCATGCCTGCAAAATCAACGTTTGAAAGGTCATGTTGCTTCAGAGAACAGAAGTTCTCATGCCAGGCGTTCCAACGCAAATGCTTATTGGACACACTGGGCAAAGACCCTGTCAAATATAAGAGCAACCAAGAGCAATCCAGCTTTAACTGGCATGAACACAGACGTTTTTAGGATTTCTATATTGTATAGATTACCCCATTCTGATGAATTATAGGGAAAATGGCCCCAATCCTACCCTTTTCCGTAGGGCAAATGCTTTCTGACAGCACGTTTAGTGCATTTCTTACCATCAGTAGTGCAACATCCTTCTGGGGGAGGCTTCATCTGGTAAGAAACAGGAGGACTACTCGATTCTGAGCCTTCTTCCTCCTCCTCTTCTTCTTCTTCCTCATTATCTGCTCTGCTGCCTGCTACAAATTAGCATAAATGACTTAGACAACAGAAAACACTGGCAACAAACCAATGAATGAACAGGGTGACCCAGTTACAGAAAGTATTACGGCAAATTGGATTCTCTCCTTTTGACAATGACTTTACTGTTGCCAACTCTTAAGATATTTGTTGTTTCCTTAAAGCTCCAACTTCCACTCATGCTTACAATAGAACGTCTTTCATCAAAAAAATAAAGCTTTTAACACCTGTGCAAAAAAAATTCAAAAGCATGACCCAACTGCACCTGAGAAAGTAAAAAAAAAAAACTAAAGGACAAATAAAAAGAAGCCTCGATTTATTATTTTTTTAAATCTCGCTATTGTTAAGGTAACTTCATGATTTGTAGAGGCCTAATTCCTGATCACAACAGTGTAACTGTATTCTTTGTTTATAATATTAACAGCCAATATAAACCCAAAGTCACTACTCCTTAGCACTTTAGAATATCCTGGCAACAGTCCAAGTACAGATTTCATAAATTAGGTATTGACCATGTCCTTGATGTTGTACAGGAAACTGAAGAAACGGTTCCTGCTTGAAACTAGGTTCGCCACAGATGGTGCCACGATAAGAACACCTAATTCTCAGGCCTTCTGTCTCCTACCAGAATCCGGAGCCGTGAGTAACGCACTGCTGCTCCCTGTACAACGTCAAGGAAAGGCAGATGTCTTGGAAGACGATTCACAGCAGCCACTGCATGGACTGTGCCAGTCTAGGAGGCAATACTGAATGCTGGGGAGAAGAATACATGATGTAGGCTTCATTTTTTGAAGGGCTTTAGGTGTTTCTTCTTCAGATTCTCTGCTGTAAACCATTTCTCTGGTGCACTGGCTACCTTTATCAGTAATTTTACCTGCTAACTTGCTTGTTAAGAGAATTCACCTGCATATTATCGGTGTATGTTTCAGCCTTTCAATTCAAGATTGCTTCTCTACTTGTCAAAGTAAAATACCAGTTAGGCTTCTATATTGTTCTGTTGATCCAGCTTTTAGTCTTGAAGCAGAGAAACAATGAAGCACACTGCAGTCATCCTCCAAAGCTCAGTGTCAACAGAACATACTCTCTTTGCTTTGACTGACTTTGGATAAGGCACTCAGAATCCCACAGGATTTTTTTTCCCTATGACCCTCCTCAGAATAGCTTTTTATTTTATTGAGAAATGATTGCAGAATCAGCTAAACAAAAACTACAGAATAAATGAGAATTAGGAAGGAAGCTGAAGAAAGTAAATCTGGAGTTTGAAGATTTGTGTCTAAAGGTTATTAAGACATACACCCCAATCTAAAAGAGGATTTGAAGAGTACATTTACTTTTAAGTATCTAAACATCAAGCTTCAGCCGTGGTGCACACAGACATGGACAGAACGTTAAACATGACTGTTTCAAGGTTGTAGTCTACAGACAAATATGCTGAAAGTGAACAAAGGGAAAAGTGAAGCTCTCCATCTTTGCTGTTTAAGTCAGGGATAAGTTATGTGTTACGACTTAACCTTGACTAACATCCAAATGCAATGAAAAAGGGGTGAGTCTGGCTCTCCTCTCTTTTCCCACACTCCCAGCCACAAAGTTCCTCCTTCCACTTTGTGCCAGCTCTGACACCGGAGCCTGTGCTGAGACATCCCAGCTTTGCTAACCCAGCAGAAAACTAAGCAAACAAAAGTGACCGGGTTTCTTTTACCGGGTTTATGTATTAAATTAGCTCAGTGGAAGATTCAAAAAATGCCGAGATTGATGAAAAGGGAGAAAATGGGAATATGTGGCTAGGAGGAGCTGGGGCGATTTTCCTATTTGGGCAGTGGTAAACTGTTAAGTTTGTTCAGTCATAACAGGTAACTTCACATCAAAAACAAAGACAGAGACAAGAAATGGAAGTGGAGAGTAAGAAATAGGAGTGCTACAGTGCTTTCAGGTCAAAAATTAAGAGTACAAGAGCAAATAGATACCTATAATACACAAGAATGAACCACTGTCACCTGTAAAGGGCATCATTAGGGATTCTGCTGCTTGTTTTAAAAAAGATCTACAGTTTCTGCTTCTATTTTACTTTTAAATTAGGGCCCTTTCAAAGAATTCTATGTTTGCATGTGTCTGTTCCTCATCTTCTTCTCTTAAACAATCCCAGAAGAACACACAGTCAGGCACTCAAAACCAGAGACAAGACAATGGCAAAAGTGGACTCACAACCACAGTTTTTCTGTTGTATGTTACAGAAGTAGGCAGCCAGCTGACATAACTTGATATAGCACCATTAAACCAACAGACATACTGTGAAGATTTTGTCCATATTTTATTGAATTTAAATTTATTCATAGATACCATAAACACCATTGTTTGCCTAAACGGAATTCTTTTCAGCTCTCACAAAGAATTTCTTAGACCATACAGTTGTGATTAAGACATTTCACGTGGAAAATTCTTCTCTACTTAAGATGTAATTTAAATATAAGTTAAGTTCTGTGAATATTTAAATATATATATAATTTTTTCTCAGTGGGACTACTCATAGGGCTGATACTATCCACAAACTGATTGCAGCATCAGGGCTTAAATCAACAGCCACAAAATATACTGTATCCATGAACAGCCAGCCTCCCTAAAATGCAGATCAAGGAAGGAACCAGTTAACCACAGACACGGGTTTGCTGCAGAGTTCACGTCAGAACGTGGTGGTGCTATGAGAGCTGAACACAGCAACTCCCAATGAACACCCTCACTGCAGTGGAGCCAATTGCCACACTGCTGCTGGGCATTGCTTTGCCACACCACCTCCCATCCTTTTCCCACTAAAGTACCAGCGATATTGGTGGTATAGGACTTGGATGTTAACAGAAAAATAATGCTTGTCATTAACTTTTGAAATCAGCTTCGCACCTCTTTGGCACAAACATAATACACAGGCCCAAAAGGCGGCACCTGAATGCATCTAAAGGCATGAGAGAAAAATGGAAGAAATGTATTTTGTATTTAAGAAATAAGATGTGATCAGAGAATCAAAACTGTCAGCGTGATTGTGATTCAAATGGGATTTTGATTTCAGCAGTGAAGAATTCAATTAGAGCCTCACTGATTTGCACATACTGACTTCTAATACCTTGCAATCCAGTCCACAGGTTTAATTTGGAATTTATAAGGAAACAACTAGGCAAACAGAGGTATGCAAGAAATCTAAACCTGTTAGAGCCAGATAATCCTGCCTTCGATTGTAGAGTTTTTAGTGCACATTCCTAGAAAGTTCCTGAACATCCAAACCATTTATTGACATTTACAGATATGTTTTGCAATTACAAAGGCTAAGAATATTAAGAAGACTTTAGAGAACCTTAGAAATGTACGACCAGTGACAGCACAGCAAACTGCAGGCTTTTTGATAAAACAAAAAGTCAATCAAGAGGTTTTTTATCTAATGATAATGGTTTTGGACTATTTTAAGCACTACATGAATTTGCCAAGTCTGGAGAAGAGAAGAAACAAACACATCAATAAAAAAGAAGAAAAAAAAAACACAGAATGAAAAAACATACTATTATTGGAGCCAAGGAGATCTAACGTTGTATCTAAACCTACTTAGGTGAACGTGGTACTTCCAATTTACATAGCTACAAATAATTTTATCAGCAAATGTAATTGTATAAATGCATATAAAGGCATATGATTATGATATGTAGGGTTTTTTCAAATCTAGAATGTCTAGACTGGAAAACCATACTCACTTGAAAATATGTGTTTGCAAGTTCATTGCAAAATATGTAATATCTAGGCTAGAAGGGACCAACATGTTCATTTAAGTTGTCTCCAGGAACACTACAGTCTCTTTTGCACAAATAAATTATTTTTAGGCATAAATTACAATGACACGTATGTGGTGACATTAGGCTAGTCTCAGTGGCTAGACACTTTTTTCTGGTTTAGATGGTCATTTATGTATCAAAAGTGACAGAAAAATGTTTTTTAAACAAAAACCACAAACCTAAAAATAATGACAAGTTACAACAGGTGACTGATAAAGCTTAAAAAAACATTTCCAGTTGTTTCTTTCTTAAGCTGACTATATACTCAATTGTCAGGCTCTCTAGCGATTTTGATATTGTAACATCATCAGAGACAAAAATCCATAATATCAGCCTTATTTACTGGTGGCTGGGTTTGTTGCCAAATGCCACTTCAAACACCTACAACATGTTATCAGTCCACGAAATAGAAAATCAAAACACTTGGGTTGCACTGACCCACTGCACTACCTTGTCTAAATTATTTATATGATGTCTGCTTCACCAGAGGAAAACACTTGCTGTGTTGCGGACCAACAGGCAGCTAAGGCCAAGGGTAGTCCGAGTGTATCACCATCCCAGAATGCCAGGGCCAAGGAAAGATAACAACGAGTGGGGAGGACAGGGGCTTATACAAGACCCCAAGGACGGCTCTCTGCTTCAGATGTCTCCTGGCCCTCAGAGCACAGGGATTCACGCAGCTAGAAGTGGAAATTTCGATTTATCATGAGGCTGGAGTACATGACATCAGCTTGCAGACCTCTCCCACCTGAGGAATAACTGAGGAAAAACTCTATTGCAGGTCCCCACAGAGTTCCCCTTGTCTGAAACTCTCATGAAAGGCATGTTCTCTGCTAGGCTGTTGTAAGACTTCTTTTAATTACAGTTCAATTCTGTTTCCATTAACTGCAAAGAAAACAGAATCAGCCCCTCAAGGTTTGGGAAGTTCTTTGAAAGCCTTGAAAGAATGAAGTTACAGAAGAGGGAAATCGCACTTTTGTTCCTGAACAATGCAGCTGCTCCTGTAGCATCTTTCCCAACTGATGTCATAATCCGTTTTATGACATCACAGTTGATTGCCATGGAAAAGTATATGAAATCCTCATAGAAGAGTTCGATAAGGATTGCATTGTGCAGGAAATAACCAGCATATATATTCAAACAACGAATGTATAGTCATTTATATTAGAAAAAAGAAAAAAAAAAACAACCTCACAATGTGTGGGCTCTGAGCAGATTTACTTTTTCAAGAAAAATTTTCTCAGCTGTTACCATGAGGTAACAGTAAAGAGTTTAATCTGTGCAAAATACTTTTATTTTATGCTACTTCTTGGGCTGATTTTTTTTTCCTGTTACTGTGGATTGTTAAACCATAATGCATTTTTCATTACATATATATCTAAGCCATCTTTAGCGAACTATGACATGGGAAGTACACCTGGTCAAAAGAAATGACACACCGCCCTGGTGACAGAAATGGCTAACTAATGAAATCATTAAACATAACTTTGCACCAACATGATGGTGTTCTGCACACACCAGTAAACTCACTGAAAACCACAAGACTACTTACTACACATAACAGCACACCAAAACACCAAATTGTATCATGAGTTTGTTTATCAGATCTATGCAGTTCATTTAAACTATATTACTTCCAAGAAAAAAAAACCTGAGCAAATGAAACTCAGAAAGCAGGCTTCTCTAAACACAAACAAAAATCCAGTGAGAAATCTCATGTGTTACATACCAACTTGTGCAGGGTTTACGACAGAACACATCTTAAATTTTTACCTTTGCAACCACAGCATAACTAAAAATATTATGCCCAAAGTAATTAAAAACCTTCTTAAAAGCTAAAAATATTTCTGGTGTATTTATTCACAATGAAAATCAGTCTCAGCATATAACCTTTCTGAATTTATCATGTGTTTACCATCACTTACTGTATAACTTTCAGCAGTGTATGATAAATTATAGGATAACAGATTTATGTTCCAAACCTCCAAAGATTCCTCCACACATTTAATGGAACGATTCCTAGTATTTCAATTTACGTAGATTGATAAATCTGAGCAAGCAAGTGGCTTCATTTTGTCAAAATAAAATAGAACACAGTTTGTATTTTTAATCCCATTCTAATACATATATATATTTGTAGATCATTAAAAAATCCAAAGAAAAACTTTAAATACTTTTCTTTATCTGTATTCTCATTTGAAATGTGTGTGCTGAGCCTTGGGAGAGCAAACAGCGAAATTGTCTTTGAGCAGAAATATAAATTCCACTATTTCCTACCTTCCAGTGACGACAGTTGCTGTTCAGCTTCCAAATACAACTGAGAAAAGATTGGTCTGGGAACTAAGTTGTTTGAGCGGAGAGAGGCCTCAATAGAATTATGCAACACTTCTTCAAACCGTGTTGTCTTGAGCTGACCAGCGTAAGAATTTCCCATCTTCTCACAAAAAAAAAAAAAAAAGAGACAAGAAAGAAAGAGAGATTTCAATTTTAGCACTCAGAACTCGATCACTGCATGTTGATGTCAGACTACAACATTTCTCATGAAAGAGAGAAGCTTCATTGTCCACAAAGAAAGGCAAAGGAAAAGAACATTGACTGCAGCAGTCGCTGAGCAGATCCTGCTGGTAAATTACAGGAAGTTATCTAAAAGTAACAGCTTTCTGTAATTCAGCAGAAAGGCAGCAAGCTTTGACACCTTCTTGAAGATGTGGCTAGAAATCTGATTCGCGTAATTCCTTGGTTTATACAGCAATTGAGGAGATGCATTTTCAATAGTCAGCAATCTCATCTGTAAAACAACCTTTCTGTTTTACATAATTTGAACAGAATAAATGTTAAAGGATCTGGGGAATAGCACAGTTTTGTGCATTTATCTTTGCCTGGCTCATCATGGCTGAAAACTCATGGCTAAAGCAGTTCAACAAGTCTTTAGAGAAGCTGTCTCATAAATAATGTAGCATTGCTGTAACTCAGATATTGTGAAATATAGTGGCTTTTCATTCTCACCTTAAGCAGTGTTTTCCACTGTGGACATGCATTTTATTTTATTTTTTTAGAATGAGACATTGTCAATTATCTATTTGATTTTGCATTTAATTATTAGGAATTCTTTATTGTTAGTGAAAGTGCATAATTTACCATTCTGTCATTGAGGAGTCAGTCTATTCCAGCTGAATATCCCACGTACTTAACTGCCGCCTGCTTTCCATAGCGAATACAATGAACTGGTATAACCAAAAGCCATGTCAGCTTTATTTCCCTAGGTCAAAGTAGCTCTTGCCCTGGGCCCCATGTCCTTTCCCTCCTCAAGTAACTGTGAATAGAAAGCATGAAACGCTTCCTGTTTGGGGCAGTAATTCCTAAACACTGAACAGCCCCTCCTCAGCACTGGGCACCGCTTGGGAAATGAGCCTGTTGGGAAGCATCCTGTAGGAATCAGTCAAGCAAAAGAAAAACTACTGTGCAACCACGTAACCACCCTTGATGGAAAAAGGAGCCTGAAAGGAACAACATACAAAGTTGACGAATGGCATACCTTTTTATGACTTTGCAAAGCGTATTTTACATATATAACACTATTTTTGTATGTTTGTATCATGTTAAAACTATATATATAGTATAGATAATACCCTCTATTATAGCCTATTGATATTATATACATATATATAGATTGTGCTTTCAATAGAAGCACAATAAGAATTATAAAACAATGCAGGTTGCATTTAAGAACATGGTCTAGAGAAGAAGCAGGCACTACTGACAAAATATCCGTGCATATATACAAAACAAACCAGAAAAGCTGCGGTGAGTAGTACGGATGTGTCCTTTCGGTGCAGGGTACACAAGAAGCTGCAAAGCCTGTTTGTGATGCTCAGTGCTAACGTGGAAGTGAGGGTGCATCTTCTCTTCCAACACAAAAAGCAGATTACAGTTCCCTTTCTGCACTGATAGGAACCCTCTGTCTCCCCTTGTACTGCTTCACCTACACCAAACACCACTGCAGACAATGAGGAACGCCTGACGTCAGTATTGTCCTTAAAAAGCTTTATCAGAGGTGTATGCAGGAAACCCAAGGTCAGGCTCTGAAATGAGTTATACTAAATGCTGTTTCTACACAAAAGCACTAGAAGATGTTTAGTTCTAAGTCTAATCCATCTTTCAACCATTATATGACTGTCAGGTATCTTGATAATTATTTGTCTTTGCTGCATTGATGTTTTATGCTTAATGTAACAAGGACAAATAATTATCAAGATATCTGGCAGATACCTATGTAATTATTTTTTTCTTTTATATTCCTTCCCATATTATGAACTACTATTTTCTCTTGTTAGGTTGGAGGCATCTGCGGTCTCAGGGATCCATATCTACGTTTTCAGAGGCAGGTACAATATTGGTTCATCACAGTCTTGAAAGTCTGGACTAAAGAAAAATAAAAATGCATGAACATGCTCTCAGCATGGTAACATTCAAAGTTACACCTTCAGGAATGGAAACAGCATTCATCCCTTTCACACACCTTCTTACATAGACTGCTTTACTTAAAAACAGAGCCAAAACATGAAAAAATTATGTAAATTTTTGCATTTAAAAAATCACTGCTACAGCACAAAGAGACTATCCAAAAGTTTGACTGCAGTGGCAGACGTTTGTCTTAAAAGGGCTGGATCCTACCTGTTCTCAACACAACCACGTAAAGCAGACTGCTCTACCTGATTTCCAAACTTGCTTCTTGAAAAGCTTCATTAAAGCACATGAAAAGTAGGAAGTTTTTCAATCCATCCAGAGCAAGGCAAAACATCCTGAGACAGCTCAAAAGCGTTATCTGACAAATAGGTACTCGGACTGCTTCATGCAATGAAGGCTTATTTGCTTTACTGATCACTATCTGGATTTAATTGTGATGAATGAGAAATTACTGTAATATTTCTGTTTATAAACTCTATTCCATTGACACAGTCAGCTCTTATTCTGTACAGTTTATTAGGAAAAGAAATAGATATACCATTTACAGGGATTTAACATACTTGCTCAGGATTTATAGAGCCCACTAGTGGACAAAAGAGAAACCCTGTATTTAACCCTGAGGATGGCAAAACCCAGTACCTTATCGATGTGATGTTACTAATAAGGAATCAGTTAAAATTAAGTTCTTTGTGAAAAGGGTAGGTCCTCAAATCCTTTACAACATAAGCACGTTTGTTTATCGAAGTGCTAATTTAATTATGTGAATGTGTTTGTAAAAGTAAACAAAAATATGCTTTTAGGATTTGTACACCTGGTAAGCTCTCGTGTACCTGTGGGATCTCACAATCACAGTGCCAAACACAATCATAAATCCAGGAACATAGTTTGGAAGATGTGATAAGTATTTTATAGCCATTTTCATCATCAAACACACACCATGGGAACCAGAAAATGAGCTTTGTAGGAGCTTTTTTTGCCAGCATCTGCCTTTGTCTTTCAGAGTCCCAGTGATGCTCTCGGTTGCGGGAGAAATTGCTTCTATACTCTACGATGGTTGTCATCCCCTCTTTTCTTTAAAGCTGCTCAGACTGCCGTACCTGAATTATAAATTGCTGACTCCGTGGCACCAGGAAGCAAAGGCTTTGATTCCTATTTTCCTGCTTCAATGAACTCAGCGTTCTCAGCCCAGATTTATGTCTCTCTTGGATACAAGTGGGTGGCACAGGCTAAACTTTCAAATGCTTGTGAAATTCCAAGCCATGAACATAGACGGTGACCAGTTCTATTAAAAAAAAACCCCACACTGACATAGAAGGATAGCCCTCGACCCCAACTACTGATAAATCAAAGGGCACCTCCCTATCACACTGTCAGTTTCCATGGAAAGCACGCAGACTAAAATACTTGCCAATACAAAGGGGAGAAAAAAGGGAAAGACCTGGACCTGGAAGGACTGCTTAAAACCATGATGAAAAGAAGAAATCCACTCTGAGGAACTTGGGAGCCTAAGAAACAATTGCAGTTACAAAAGAAGCGGGTCAGGCCAACGTCTTAGAAACCCACGGATAATGCTGCCAAAGAGAGATGCCAAGTCCAGGCATCTAAAAACGAGAGCAGAAGTGTGTTAGTCACTAATAAGCCCTCAAATTCCAAACAAGGAACTGTAAGCATTCCTGTGGTAAACAGGGTTTACGCGACTAGGAGAAGCAGGGATCTTAAGAGTTAATGTCTGTCACATAAAGAGTCAACTTCAAGTTCAACTGCAGTTGAACTAGTTGGGTTTTGAAGAAAACCTGCACTAATCTGCTATGACCCTGTACTCCAGCTGCCGTGATTTAGAAAAGGAGCCCCGTCTCGGCCACGAGGGCAGTACCTACCACGAGAGCCACGACAGTGACTGGTCATGATAACACAGGGCAATTGTCAGCAGCAGGAGGACATGCAGTCCCATCACCTAGATCTTGGAGGGATATCTTTTGCACAGTGGAACAAAGACAGTAACGCACTAGTGACCTTTTAGTTGCAGTTGTCTAATGTGTTAGAGATCAGTAAGAAGTATTAAGATTTTGTGAAGACTGAAGATTTAGCACAGCAATTCTGGACAAAATTTCTCCTATACCTAGGACAGACTGGGTATCGTAAGGAAAGCTATGGACTTTAGAGCACAGAAATTAATCCAGGGCTTTTGACAACTCCGACTGAATTAGACTGATAAAGAAAGACTGCCTTCAGCAGAAAGCGGGTAAAGTAAAGGATATACGTGGGCTGTGTTAAGAAGGCTTGAAAAAATAGTCAAGGGATGGACGTGGGAAATTAGGGATTACTAACTAATTCAATCTTAGATACAATTTACAAATTATTACAGTAGAAAAAGTTTCATACTATGTCGCAAACTTTTTGCATTCTAAAATATAATTGACTTTACTATTTTAATATATTAATCCTTCCAGCAAAACAGTATAGCAATGGATGTATTTTCCCAGTTTAAGCAGCCAGCTTTCATACTTTTGAAATGGCCTAACAGAGTAATTTCTATTGTATCATTTCCAAGAGGAGAATGGTAAGACGTTTCCAAGTTCACTGTTACTCCAAAATAAGTTGTTATCGCTATGGCAAGAGGCAGTTCCTCACTTGCATAAAATGAGAGGTTTTGTTTGGATGAACTATGGATTTAGGTATGCAAAAGTCTATATATTAAAATTTGTCTGGGAGGTGAAAGCATTCTTTACTGCAGGTTAACAATTCGTTCACAGATCAGTACCAGCAAAGTTGTTAAGGTGACCCTTTTGCTCTTTGAACAAAAGTTAGACCCATCCAGTAACATCCAAAATCCATCAATATTTCTAAAGTTTGGTAAAGTGTCTAATAATTCTTGAAAACCTGTATTAAAAACAATTCAATTAAGAAGAAAAATCCTAGGGCAGGGACTTGTATGTAAATGCAATTCTAAGAAGAAAAGTAAATCTG